AAAACTTTCCCAGAGAAAAAGTTTTTTTCGAGAAAAAAGTTTTTTTTTGAGAAAAATAATTTTTCTATCTCGATAATTCTGTGGCACTTCGTAAAAAATCAATGATCCGAGATTCCTTGTTTTTTCAATTTTCTGAAAGAATTTTTTTTTTGACGTGGGCCAAATTATAATCAATATTTTTTGAAAAATTTGTTGAACAACGAATCGCAGCAAAAGGCCAGAAAAATGATTTCTTATAGAAGTTTTAGCGCGCATTGTTTGCTATAAATTTTTGAAAAAGATTTATTTTTTGTGAAAACATCGCCCCCAATAATAGAAATATGTAGACATGAACTTTTGTGTCAAAATTTGCAAAAAAGTGCCGCATTTTTTTCAGCCAACTTTCATCAAAATCTAAGGTACTTTCACTGTAAAAAAAACAGAGATCTTCAGACAAAAAACAATTTTTATTGCAAAAATGTTTCCTTTCTTAATTTTTTTTGATTGATTGAAAAAATACAGTAAAGAAAACTTTTTTCGGCAGTAAAAAAAATTTTCAGACGGCCCAAACAACTTCTCAAGCAAACCACTGTAAATAAACGAGGCAATCCATCAAGGAAGACCGAAAATTTTAATCAGTAAAATGTTTCATTTGTGCTAGTCTCTGACCAATCTTGTCACATTTTAAGAATAAAATTGACAAGCAAAGTCTGGGGCAGAAACTTTGATGAATTGGACGAAATTTGGCTCAAGGGCATGATTTTTTTAGATTTGTAGTTCGCGTTTTGCAGAAGTTCACAAGATTTTTGCTTTTTTTGAGACTTCTGACCAATTTTTTAAAAAATGTGTCAAAAGTTATCATGGATACTTTTTGATACTTTTTGAAAAAAACATTTTCTTTAGGTGTAAAATGTCGTAAAATAAAAAATTCAAGGGATTAATACTTGGCAAAGTCTAGAAATTTTCCCAAAATTTTAAGAAAATAAGGTCAGTAAATAGATATATGTACAGGGTGTTTCAAGAAATTTGGAACAAATGATTTGCTTATATCTTTGTGTTCTTTGCAGTTATCAACGAATTTCTTTTTGCTTCTAAAAATTGACAGCGTGCGTTTTGAGAATCTCAAAAAAATTTTTTTTTCGTGGGCGGAGGGCCCATTTCTCGGCGGAGAAAATTAGGGCCTTTTTTAAAAATCACAGCGTATTACGTGGCGGAAACGCCGTTGCAACGGCTGAAATCAAGTTTACGTAATACCTCCGTCGATTTTACGGTATGCATTTTTTTGTTTTCGATTTTACGCGCACCGCGGAGGCGCGGCGGAGACTTCAGATTTCGGCGGACGTTGTTTTGGGCCTTCGGCTGTTGCAATTCATGTTGGAAAAGAGGTTGGGGTGATTTTTTGTTGTCATCCGATGCACAGATGGCAAAAATTTCGTGCTTTTTTCCCCGGCGGAGGATTCGGCGGAGGCTTTATCAAAGGGTCAAAGCTGTCTTACGAGTCCGGGAAAAATCTCAGCTACAAGAATCCATCAGAGAAGCATTGTCTTTCAAAGATTTTTGATTTTTTTGGTCCGGCGGACAAATCGGCGGAGTTTTGTTTTTACCCTTTGATAGCCTCCGCCGACTCCTCCGCCGGGGATAAAAAGCACGAAATTTTTGCCATCTGTGCATCGGATGACAACAAAAAATCACCCTAACCTCCTTTTCCAACATGAATTGCAAAAGCCAAAGGCCCAAAACAACGTCCACCGAAATCTGAGGTCTGCGCCGCGCATCCGCGGAAGTGCGTAAAATCGAAAACGCAAAAAAAGCATAACGTAAAATCGATGGAGGTATTACGTAAACTTGATTTCAGCCGTTGCAACGGCGTTTCCGCGACGTAATACGCTGTGATTTTTAAAAAAGGCCCTAATTTTCTCCGCCGAGAAATGGGCCCTCCGCCGACGAAAAAAAAATTTTTTTGAGATTCTAAAAACGCACGCTGTCAATTTTTAGAAGCAAAAAGAAATTCGTTGATAACTGCAAAGAACACAAAGATATAAGCAAATTATTTGTTCCAAATTTCTTGAAACACCCTGTAATATGTAGGTATTACCGTAAAATCCAAAAAATTTTATAAAAATATTGATTAAAATTTTTGCAAGGTTATCAGAACCATCAAACATTACGATATGAATCGCTCTGCCATCCTGTCAATTGTGCTGGATTCGTTACATTTCTTATCATAGATAGATAATATTATAATTATACAGGGTGTTTCAAGAAATTCCCCGGAAAGCAATCGTCGATTTCTCGGCGCTCAGCAACGATATCCAAAAAAATTTTTTTGCAGTAGAAAGAAGGTTATGGGCGGTTTTTTGCCTAAAAAGATTTTTTTCTTCGCCGACGCGGAATGCAGTGTATTCGGCAAACACTTTTGACCGCTTTTTTGATCATCACACTTATCTAAAACGCTTTACTGTGACACTGCAGCATCCGGAAAGTCTTCAGATTTTTTGCACAATGGATCAGGAGGCAGGGTATAACGCTATGCGATCCCATTTAGCGACTGCACAGTGCAATGCAGTCGCTGCAATACCGATAAAGTCGAGCCCACCGCGCGAATGTTTGAAACAGCAGGGCAAAGAGAAATTTAAACAAAAATTTTTTTGTTGTTTTCTGGTGCACCAAGTGGTTCCGTGATGGCTAGACATCTGCCATGGCTTGACCACAAAATTTTGGAGGGTATACGATACCCGCAGAAAATAGTTGCCAGACAATAAAAATTGTGTTGGACCATTTCTGGTCCGTATCTGAGTTAAGATATGGCGAGCGGCTGCCATACCTTTGCCGAACGCTTGATAAGCACAAAAATCAGCAAATTATCCGCATTTCAGCCATCAGAAACCACAAAAAAGCGTTTAAGATGTATGTGATGACCAAAAAAGCGATCTAAAGTCTTCGCCGAATACATTGCATTCCGCGTCGGCGTAGAAAAAAATCTTTTTAGGCAAAAAACCGCCCATAACCTTCTTTCTACTGCAAAAAAAATTTTTTGGATATCGTGGCTGAGCGCCGAGAAATCGACGATTGCTTTCCGGGGAATTTCTTGAAACACCCTGTATATAAATATATATAATATATATATATATAATATTATAATAATTTGGACACAAACTTTTTTGAGCAAATTAATTGTTGCCCCAAGTAATGTCAAAAAAATTGTTTGTGGTTGCAGAATCCTACGAGAAATCTTATCAAGCACATTTTCTCCGACTTTGCCTCCCATAGCGTTTGGAAAACAATTGATTATAGTGGTTCTTGCATCACAACCTTGTTATCAGTCTGTCGGGAAAATAATGAGCAAAACATCGCATCCAAAACGACATCGCTGATGAGAGAATGAATTGTGTGGCGGCAAAATCGGTAGAGCCTGAACTCTCCCCCTTTTCTGAACTTTCCCTCAATCTGAACTCTCCCCCTTTTTGAACACTCCCCCATTTTGAAAATGGAAAAAACGAGGTGTGACATGTTATACGATGGAAATTTTTTTTCAAATTGAGAAAAATTAGCTGTGACATCTTATACGATGAAAGTTTTTTTTCAAATTGAAAAGAATAAGGTGTGACATGTTATACGATGAAAGTTTTTTTTCAAATTGAAAAAAATAAGGTGTGACATCTTATACGATAAAAAGAGTTTTTCAAATTGAAAAAAATGAAGTGTGGCATCTTATACGATGAAAATTTTTTTCAATTTGAAAAAAAGTGTTCAAAAAGGGGGAGGGTTCATTCAAAGGGAAGTGTTCAAAAAGATCAGCGCAGCAACATTGTGCTCAATATTTTCCCGATGGACTGATATCTTACACAAAAAATTGGATCAAAATCTTGATTTCTGAAACTGAAAAAAGCACAAATTGAAAATCAAACAGCACACTTTTGAGAACAATGCGAAACAATAAGATTTCAGAGAAAAAATCGACTTTTTTGGTCGATTTTTTCTCTGCCCACCTGATAATTTTTTCAAATTTTTGTTTTCTTTAATTTTATTTCTGATGCCAAAAAGAGCAAAATTGAAAGTCAGGAAGCACACTCTCGATAAAATGGGAAACTTAGAGATTTCAATAAAAAAATCAACAATTTTTTTTTCTTTTTTTTTGAAAAAAAGTTGTTTTGGTACCTATGCATTGAAAAAAAAAATTTTTTTTGGAGATTTCTTTGTATCAAAAAAAAACGCAAATTGGAAAAAAACAAAAACGTCTTTTTTTGGAAAAAAGTTGCCATTTTTTCAAATTTTTGTTTATTAAAATTTTATTTCTGATGCCAAAAAAGAGCACAAAATTAGAAATAAGAGAGCACACTTGTGATAAAAGTGCAAAACAATGAGATTTCAGAGAAAAGCCCCAACAAAATTGTTTTTTTGCAAAAAAAGTTGCCTTGGTCCCCCCTGTTCATTAAAAAAAATCTTTTTGAAAAAAAAATTTTTTTTTATTTTGCGCATGACCGTTCTCCTTGAACTCTGTGGCACGTTTGTTTTCGTTCTTTCGCCTCATTTTTGTCGAATCAAATGCAAGATCACAAGTTCCGATTTCTTCTGTCTCGACTTTATTTATCAGCCCGAGCTCCGCCCCTTTTTGATAATTTTGACAATTTTTTTTATCTTACAATCTATGAAGTCTCTTCTATTTCCTCGATCATTTTCCGACTCTGCAAAGATGAATTTCTTTGAGAAAAATGCGATTTTTTGATTTTGTGGCATCCTTGATGTCTAGTGCAATATAATTCTATCTCAAATGGGTCTTTCTTCTATTCCCTTGGGATTTTGATAGCTTTTATCAACAGCACCAATAACTGGTCGACTTCAGAGTGCGCTTTTATCAAGGTTCGGCGCAAAGAAGCCTCAAGAAAATCGACTCTTATGAAGTTTACGATTTCCAAGGCGGAGTCGAAGAACTCGCTTATAAAAGCGTCCGTAAGCGTCGAATACGTTAACAATTCAAATTGTACATTGTAAATAGACTGCCATTAGAGAAGAGAGCGGATATGAGCACCGGGAAGAAAGTGTGTGTCATTGGCGCTGGAGTTTCGGGATTGCCGGCTGCGAAGTAAGTGTAATATAAAAAGTATAGCAAAATTGAGGGGAGAATAGGTAGAAAGTTGGAAAAATAGGAAAGATAGAATCTTGTAAACATATATCAAATGTTTTTGCTGTTTGAAATTTTGGAAATTTTTTGAAAATTCTAAAAAACCTCAAAAAGTATCCAAAATCGAAACCTCTCGAATTTCAATAAAACTCGATAGAAATTTAAAATAGAATGTTCTAGGGTGTATTTAAGATTTTTAACTCAACATCTGCTGAAACGACCGGGATTTTACGTCGAAAAAAAAATTTTTAATTTTGATGCGTCTAGTGCAATATTTGTTCAGTATCTCGGCTCAATCTGTAAAACAAAGGCCAATTTTTTCAGTGAATGTTGTAGATACTATACAAATGGTCATAGCAAAAATTCAGAAAAAACCGAGCCTTAGGCTATGAGAAATTTTCGGTTCTTATCGATAAAAAAAAAGTCATCATTTTTTTACCTTTTTCCCCAAAAATTTCAAAAAATTAATCTTTTCCTCCTTCCAGATGGGCAGTTCAATATGGAATTGAGCCCACTGTGTTTGAGGCTCAAAACAACCTTGGAGGATTATGGAATTACAAGGAAGAGGAGACCGAATTCTCCACGGTCATGAAGCAAACCGTGATCAATACGTCCAAGGAAATGTCGGCTTACTCCGACTTTGTTCCGGACGCTGAAGACGCCAACTTCATGCACCATTCCAGTGAGTTTTGGGATTTTTTGGAAGCAATTTTGATTTCTCTTAAATTTGATTATTTTTTTAGATTCAAAAAATCTCAAAAATTCAAAAAAAATGTTAAATTTTTTTTTCCAAAATTTCAAAAACTTCAAAATTAATTTTGAATGGTATTTTAGAGCTTTGGAAGTACCTTGATCGCTACGCCGAGACCTTTGATATCAAGAAGTACATTCGCTTCAACCATCGGGTCCAGAATGTTGAAAGGGCAGCGGATTACGCTAGGACTGGAAGATGGGTGGTTAGCTATACTGATAAGTAAGTTTTGGGGGTGGAAAAGGAGACAAAAATATCGCCGAAAAAATAAAAAAAATCGAAAAATCTTGTTTTTGAAATTATGAAAAAAGGCTAAAAAATGATTCTAAAAATTGTGGGAAAGCATGATTTTTTGATTTTTTTTATTTTTTCAAATTATTTTTTCCCCAAAAAATTCAAAAAATCGATTTTTTTTCAAAAACAAAAACTCACTACCTTCCTTTTCAGCAACGGCATTGACCATCAACAAACCTTTGATTTTGTCCTCGTCTGCACTGGTCATCATGCCACGCCCAACATGCCGAAGCCGTGGCCCGGACAGGACAAGTGGAACGGTCGAATGATCCACTCCCATTCCTACAAAACGCCCGCCGGCTACGACGACAAGAACGTGCTGGTCGTCGGGATCGGTAACTCGGCCGTTGATGTGGCTTGTGAGTTGTCGCGCGTCGCGAAACAGGTCACCATCTCCACGCGGCGGGGCGCTTGGGTTGTGGGGAAGCACATTGAGAAGGGATACCCGATGGATATGTTCCTGAACACGCGAGTGAACAGTATGCTCAAGTGGCTCAATTTTGAGTACTTTAACCGGCTTTGTGAGGAGCGATTTACCAACTTCTTCGACCAGGATGAGTATGGGTTGAGGCCGAAGCACAAGATTTTGGCGCAACATCCGACGATTACCGATGAACTTCATAGTAAGTTTAGGTGCTTACAGAGTAAAAATAGACGGCTGAAAATTTTATAAGAACCACTTTGGAAACTATTTTTGTAGTTTGAGATTGATCTTAAGGCAAAATATGATGAGTTTATCAAAAAGTATGAAAAGTGATCACGGATACTTTTTGATACTTTTTTGGTAAAAATATCCCGTTTCACACGGAAATAGCCTATGATTAATGTTGTACGAAAGTTTCCCAGGTCATATAAGATGATTTTATCAAAAAGTATCAAAAGTGATCATGGATACTTTTTGATACTTTTTTGGTCAAGACCTCCCATATCACCCGGGAATAGTCAAAAAATATTCTATAGGCATAGAAAACAAATTTTCGCATAACTTTTTTTATTTTCTTCAAAAATAATCTACAATTTTTTTCAGACAAGATCGGCTGCGGCACCGTCGTCCTCAAAGGCGATATCAAGCGTTTCACCGAGAACGGCGTCATCTTCGAAGACGGATCTTTTACGGAGATCGACGAAGTCGTCTGTTGCACCGGCTTCACCTTTGATTTCCCGTATCTGGACAGCGGAAAGTTGATTCCAGTCGTGGACAACAAAGTCGAGCTCTACAAAAAGATGTTCCCAGTGAATTCGGCGGACAAAAACACCATCGCAGTCTGCGGCTTGTTCCAGCCAATTGGCTCAATTGTGGCTCCAACCGAAATGAATGCCAGAGTCTTCTACGAACAGGCCTTGGGCAATATTAAGGTGGGACTGCACCGTGCGAAAATTTTTTTCCATGTTTTTTTAATGCACCGTTCAAAAAACCTTTCAATTTCACCCCTCAAAAATTTCAGCTCCCCTCCAAAGAAGCGATGATCAAAGACATCAAAGCGGCCAACGAGAAAATGTTCAAGCGCTACACGAACGTGCCTCGGCACACGATCCAAGTGGATTATGTGGAGTACATGGACGAGTTGGCCAACATGATCGGCTGCAAGCCCCCACTCACCAAGCTCTTCTTCACCGACTACACGCTGTGGAAGGCGCTGTTCTTCGGGCCCGACGCGCCCTACGCCTACCGCTTGGTGGGCCCGCATCCGTGGCCCAAGGCGCGCGAGGCCATTCTGGGCGTGGAGGAGCGGCGAATTCGCGCGATCCGCAAACGCGAAACCCCCAACAATCCGTACGAAAAGTCGGACGAGGTGAAGCGAGAGAAGACGAATCCCGTGTGGATTACGGGAGGCGCCATTCTGACCGCCGCCGTCGCCGCAAAGTTGTGGCAAGACGGCACGTTGCAGGAGATTCCACATGCAATCCGGCAATTAGTTTGAGAGTAGAGTGGATATCCGAGAGAGTTTTGAAAAATGTAAATTATTGTACATTGTTTTTGGAGGGTCTTGGAAAATAAATAAACAATATTATAATAACTAATCCTTGTTTTTTTTTGATTTTCTGACAAGGAAAGTACTTCTATGGAGTATGCAGTTACAGGTCGAGACATATTTCAAAAAACTCGCAAAATTTTTCTGATTCAGAATATGTAAAAATTAGCAGCCTAATTTTGGTTTGTAAAAAATCCTTTGAACTTTTCTCGCAATACCATGGAAATGCGCCTTTTTTACATTGGAACTGCTAGGTGTAGTATAAAGTAAATTTGATATTGTAAGGCTTGTCAAGATACCAGAGTTTGCTTTAGCTTAAAAGAAGCATTTGATTTGGTAAAAACTTGGTCAAAAAGGCATTTACGTGGTGTTGCGAGAAAAGTTCAGAGGGGTTTTTCACCCTTACAGACCAAAATTAGGCAGGTAATTTTACATATATTACATCTGAATCAGGAAAATTTTGCGAATTTTTTGATACATGTCACGACCTGTAACTCCATACCCCATAGAAGTACTTTCCTTTTTAAAAAAATCAAAAAAGTTTATAATCAAATGACAAGAAAGCAAGAATCTGTCCCTTGCATCGAAACGCCACATTGATTAAGTCTTGGTCAGGAAATACAAGCTTCAACTACGCTGGATCAACCTGGTTTCGGTCTTTTTCACTCCAAATCTTGGTTCTCTTACCCAGTTTGTCTTGGAGCTGGATACAGTTGGGGCCAATGACCATTTGGAATTTCCATGTAACAAAATTTCGTTCTATGGTCTAAATTTGAGCCGGCGCTCCTCTCTACCATCCAAGACTTCCTTTGTATGAGTCTTATGACATGAATTTCACACTCTTAGCTATCCATATTTATTTGTATTTTTAAGAATTTTTAGGGATAGGTATGTCTCCGGAACTTCCTCATTTTATCAAAGTTTAAATTCCATTTTATTTTTAATCCGCAGTGGAGCACCCTAATTTTTGTGCGTCTAGAGACCAGGAAAACATCATAAGCACGAGTTAAAGAAGCAGAGATTAAAATAAGCTGGCGTGTTTCCTGGTTGACTACAAGACAAAGAGCATACAAACACGTGTTCAAGTTGGGAATATTTGTTTTTAGTGTCAGTCTGTCGGAAAAATAATGAGCACTTCGTCGCTTCTCCATCGAGTCGCTGAAGTTATGTAAAAGAAACTTGATTTTGCCGCAATAGAATTCGTTTTCTCGGCAGCGATGCGGCTTTCCAGGCATGGCAAAGGCCGGCCCGAGCTTCGGAAATTTCAAAAAATCTGTATGGCTGGGCTTGAGGCTCGGCCTAAGTTTTTGAGGCCGGGCTTGGCCCGTATCACAAAAACATTTTTATATTGAATTGCGGTTGTCCGGCACGTAAGTTTAAGTGTTCCAAAACTGTTGATTTTCAATTTGATGGCATGCACGGAGCCAACAAACACACTGCCAAAATATCGCCAAAATGGCGGAAAATTTTCTATTCAAACAATTTTTAAGGGTCGGTTCGGCTTGCGGACGAGCCGCAATTTTCAAAAACGTTTCAAATACCATCGTTAACATGAATTAATACAATAAATATTCTTTTCATTCGCTTGCCGCGCAAAACGAGGACGGTGTCAATAAAAAAGTTACAATCCACCATAAAATCGCTCTTCCACGAAAAAACAAAAAACAACGAGCAACGTGGTCTTGCAGATTATTTTGAGGGCAAACCCATTAACTTACCGAGGTGTTTACTATCCCACAGCTCTTGACACATCTTCGCACGGTGCGGTGGGCGTCGCAAAGTGGCTAGGCGCGACAACCGATGAGCACAGCGCTGAAGAAGTGCGCGCGGTGCATATTTCTCTGGAGCCCGGTAAACTAGTATATATAAATTTGCAAAAAACGCCAGAAAGTCCAAAAAGTCATCTTTAGGGTGCCCTAGCCTTCGCACTAGGCCCTAAACAAATTTTCGTAATGCCTAACGATGCCTCAAGAGGTCCCACCAAGTCCTAACCAGCCCCGTGAAGTCATCTTTGGGGAACCTTGTTTATTCGCACTAGGACCAGAGCAGCATTGCTTTAATAAGTCTCACCTCAAGGCCCTATAAGTTTCACTAGGCTCCAACCAATCTATCTCGCATTGACTTAGCCCCAGGCACAGCCCAGGTCTTAAGAATTCCTAGTAGGTCTCAAACAGCCAAGTGCAAAGCAAACGTTTTTCTTTGCACAGTGTATGTCACGAAAATCACTACAGTGACTTTGCGAGCGACCTATGAGTCTGTCGGGAAAATAACCAGCACTTAGTCACATCGAAAAGTAGCGACACTGTGCTTATTATTTTCCCGACAGACCAATAAGCGGACCACAATGTCATGACATATTTTCTCACTGTGTGAGCACAATGTCGCTGCGCCGTTTGCGTCGCTGAAATAAAAAAGCAATTTGATTTTGTCGCGACATAATTCATTTTTTCGGCGGCGATGAGATTTTCGGTGCGACAGAATTCTTATTATTTTCCCGACAAACTAATACTGTCAGTATTTCAGGAAAATAATGTGGATTCGTTGCGGTTTGAAATCGCCTTGCAACGGGTTGCTGAAGATGTGCGACTGCGGAAATAGAAATTTCTTTGCTGCTGACAATTCCACATTATTTTCCCGACAGGGCAATATTTACAACAAAAAAAATAAAAAATTTAGGGGCGTATTAATTAGCGCTGCATCTCCATCGCCGCAGTACCCGACAAATAAAGCAATTATCATTTTGCGGAACATATCGGCAACATTTTTGGCTCCGCCCTTTTCGCGGACGACCAATCTGAACTCTGTGCGGTTGTGTTATCGAGGCATGTGACCAAAACAAGATTAATATTCTCTGATTTTTATTGCTGTACTCAGCGTTCCACACATGTTTACAATGTGTTGCAAAGGGCCCTGTAACGCGTGCTTTATCGGGGTTTGGGGGGTGGGGCCTGTGATCGTTATAAAGGCAAGGGTTCCCCGTTACAATCAAGGTCATTTAGCCTAGGGGGTCGAATGAAGACAAACAAGACCGTGTGTGTGATTGGAGCGGGGGTCTCCGGATTGCCTGCGGCAAAGTAAGTGCGGGTTAGGATGGCTAGGGCCCGGTGGGGCTGGCAAGGGCCTGGTGGTGCTTGTTAAGGTACAAACCTTTGTATTTAGAATTTACGAAGGTTTTCTAGGGCCTTTTGGGGCTTCTTAAGACTTGAGCTGAGCTTGGGGCACAGTGAAAGCGGGCCGGATGAGCTGGAGCTTAGTAACGCTGTCTACGACGTAGGGAAGACTTGGGCTATGCTGGTGGCAAAGAAAGTGCAAGATGGATAAACTATTGGTGCTTTTTCGGGCCTAGTCGGAGTCTTCGAGGTACAAGCCTTCGTATTTATGCATTACAAAGGCTTGTTCAGGACCTAGTACAAATGACAAGGGTACCCCAAAGATGACTTTTAGGATTTACTGGGGCTTGTTGCAGATTTATGGCTGGACTTTCTATTACCCCCAACAATTCATTTTCTCGGCCACGGTGCAGTTTTCGATGTGATAGAGTGCTCATTACGATCACATTGTAAAAAAACACAAGTTCGCTTTACACTGTGCAATTTGTCGCTTTCTGCACTGTGCTATAGGCTTTGTTGGGCTGTCGCTCGCACCCTGACCCTTCTTGCTTAGTGCATGTTGTAAGAATCGCCCCAGCGACGTTGCGACCGGACTAGTAAAGCACAGTAGAACCTACTTCATTCACGTGCGCTATTTCAGATGGGCAACCGAATACGGCGTGGAGCCCACCGTGTTCGAAGCACAAAGCCGCCTTGGAGGACTCTGGAACTACAAGGAAGAAGAGACCGAGTTCTCCACGGTCATGAAGCAAACCGTGATCAACACGTCCAAGGAACTGTCGGCCTACTCCGACTTTGTCCCGGACGCCGAAGACGCCAACTTTATGCACCACTCCAGTAAGCTCATGGTGGAGAGGAACAGTAATATACCACGCTTGTTTTAGAGCTCTGGAAGTACCTTGATCGCTACGCAGAGGCTTTTGACATCAAGAAGTATATCCGGTATAATCATCGGGTAACGAATGTCGAGAGGGCGCGCGATTATGATACGAGTGGCAGATGGGTAGTTAGCTATATTGATGAGTAAGTTGTTATTTGACAGTTTGACTCCTCAACAAGATGATTTTTTATAGTTCCACTAGAAACATGGTGATTTTGTCAAAAAGTATCAAAAATGATCATGAATACTCTTTAATACTGTTTTTGAAAAAACAAAATTTTTGCCCGGGAATAGCTCTTTAGTCACTTTAAATGTCCGTGAAAAAATATGATGTTTTCAAAAGGTATCAAAAATTATCATAGATATTTTTTGATACTTTTTAGTTTTTATTTTTCTTCTAGAATATCAAAGCAAGAATAAAATTGATTTATGAAAATGGTGGAAAGCATGACAAACTTTTTTTTCACTAAAAAGATTTAAAAATTCCAAAAATAGATTTTTCCTCAAAAACAGAAACTCTAAACCTTCCTTTTCAGCAACGGCATCGACCATCAACAAACCTTTGATTTTGTCCTCGTCTGCACTGGTCATCATGCCACGCCCAACATGCCCCAACCATGGCCAGGACAAGAGAAATGGAGAGGTCGAATGATCCACTCCCATTCCTACAAAAAGCCCGTCGGCTATGACGACAAAAACGTCCTCGTCGTGGGCATCGGCAACTCGGCCATCGACGTGGCTTGTGAATTGTCGCGAGTTGCGAAACAAGTCACCATCTCCACGCGGCGGGGCGCTTGGGTTGTGGGGAAGCACATTGAGAAGGGATACCCCATGGATATGTTCTTGAACACCCGACTTAATGCAATCATCAAATACTTCAGTATGGACTACTTCAACAAGCTTTGTGAGGAGAAGTTCACCAAGTTCTTCGATCAGGACGAATATGGAATCCGGCCGAAGCACAAGCTGATTGCGCAACATCCCACTATTAGCGATGAAATTCATAGTAAGTCGAGGGGAAATGTTTGCGATGCGTTGTGCACACATGTTTTGCTTTTTCAGGGAAAATTTGAAGATTTTTTTCCGAAAAGCTTCAAAAGTTGTCATGGATACTTTTTGATACTTTTTTGTAAAAGACATTATTTTTTGCCCGGGACTCGCTTTTTCGTTGCCTTATATGTGTTGCCATAACAAATATAAAGGTTTTTTCAAAAGGTATTGAAAGCGATCATGGATATTTTTTGATACTTTTTAGGGAAAAACTTTAATTTTTGTCCGGAAATGGCTTTTTTTGTTGCCCTAGATGCATTTCTATGTAAAATAGAAAGATTTTTGCAAAAAGTATCAAAAGTGATCATGGATACTTTTTGATACTTTTTGCGAAAAGCTTTAATTTTTGTCCGGAAACCGCTGCGGGACTAAAACAAACGTTTATTTGCCAAACTTACATGCATTCTACTCACGTTTACTATAAGGTCAAATTACAAAATTTTTCGATTTCAGACAAAATCGGCTCCGGCACCGTGGTTCTCAAGGGAGACATCCGACGTTTCACCGAGAACGGTGTCATTTTTGAGGACGGATCCTTCACCGAAATTGATGAAGTTGTCTGTTGCACTGGATTCCTCTTCGATTTCCCGTATCTGGACAGCGGAAGACTGATTCCAGTCGTGGACAACAAAGTCGAGCTCTACAAAAAGATGTTCCCTGTGAACTCGGCGGACAAAAATACCCTCGCTTGCGTCGGACTGTTCCAGCCACTCGGTTCAATCATGGCCCCAGCGGAGATGAATGCCAGACTGTTCTTCGAACAGGCCTTGGGCAACATTAAGGTGGGTTTGAGGGGATATTTGGGAGATGCCAAAAATGGAAGATGGGGAAAATGGAATGGAAAAAAATTGAGCGTTTTTTTGCAAGAAGCTCAAAATTTTTTAATATTTTTGATTGACTGCACTGTGCAAAAAAAATAAAAGATGTTCTCGCACCGTGCGAAAATAGTCGAAATTTTTCGACTTGTTTGCACTGTGCAAAAAAATTTGTTGTAATTTTTTCCCAAAAAACCTTTCACTTTCACCCCTCAAATTTCAGCTCCCCTCCAAAGAAGCGATGATCAAAGACATCAAAGCGGCCAACGAGAAAATGTTCAAGCGCTACACGAACGTGCCTCGGCACACGATCCAAGTCGATTATGTGGAGTACATGGACGAGATGGCCAATATGATTGGCTGCAAGCCACCGATGACCAAGCTCTTCTTCACCGACTACACGCTGTGGAAGACGTTGATGTTCGGGCCGGACGTGCCGTACGCCTACCGGTTGGTGGGGCCGCATCCGTGGCCCAAAGCGCGCGAGGCGATTCTGGACGTGGAGACGAGGCGAGTTAAGGCGATTCGGAAGCGCGAAACGCCGGGGAATCCGTTCGTTCGTTGCGAGGAGTTGAAGAAGGACTCGATAAATCCGGCGTGGATCACGGGAGGGGTTTTGGTGTTAGCGGCAATTGGAGCGAAATTGTATCAGAACGGCGCCTTCGAACATGTCGAAGGCGTGGTCAAGCAATATATCTGAGCTTCAAATTGTTATTTTTACCCTTCAGTATTATGACTTTTTCATTTTTCAACTTGTCATCATTCTGGTATCTTTTTTGATATACTTATTCAATGTAAATAATCGATACATCTTCAATGTGCAGTAAATTGGCCATATCTTATTTCAAAAAATAATCTATTATCACTGTTGTTCCGCAACGACATTTTTGATTGAGTAATAAAGTAAACAAATATAGTCTCGGACAAGATGCACGAAAATTGTAGGAGGTGCTTAAAACGCCTGGGAAAGCCTGTGGATGCTCGGCGGAGACTTGGCGAAGGCATACAGCTTGATCATTTTTTCTATGTATTTCTTGCTTGCACTAACTGTAAGCTTAGATTTTTTCACTCTGAGTTATTGTAATACAGGGAATATCTGAATATTATTGCATTAATATCATCACCTATTTTGGAAAGCACCTCAAAATTGGTCATGAACTATTCCACCAGTCTGTCGGGAAAATAACGGCAGATTGTCGCAGCAAAATGTTTCGCCTCGTCGAAAAAAGGGCGCAATCAAATCTCCAGCCGCGGCTAGCCGTCGCAAAGCGATGTGGCACGTCAATTCAGCACATTTCCTGAACCATTTCGAAACTTCGTATCGTTTTCATTGATTTAAAAGAGAGACGAAATGTCGCGAAATTATCGGCTCTTTTTCTCGCCCGAAATAATTGCTTTTTCTCGAAAAGGAAGAAGAAAGATAAGAAAATGCGTTTTATCGGAAAGTGACATTTCGTTTTGAACGAATCACCAAAAAGGGGCGGGAAATTTGTTCTTCTATTTTGGATTGACGTGTGGGGACGCTTCACGTCAAACTGAGGAGTCCGGTGAGCGGAATAGACTCTTCGCTGTCGCTTTTTACACCTCGTCTTGACTTCACAGAAAAGTTAAAGAAAAGACGCGCAAAAACGTACTCTCTCGCCCCAAAAATTCGCCATTTCTTCCCCGGAGAAGTTTTTTCGCGTCTTTTTTTGGCGAATTGCTCCAATCCATTCACCGGATCGTTTTGGATTATCTCAGTCTGACGTGCGCTTCCTAAGCGCCACAACCCGCCGCTATTTTCCCGACAGACTGATAGTACTTAATGATGGGAATTGAACGCGACGTAGATTTTAAAATACTTTGTAAAAGCAAGATGGTCAATGGTAAACTAACCGACACTTTTTTAATCGTCTTCTAGCCTCGGCTTTTATTACTTTATGATGACAAAAACAATGGAAAAACGGAAATCTGTATGTAAACATAATCGAAATCAACAGAAAAAACAAAAAATCAAAAAAATTTAAAAAATTGTAAAATACGGCCGCGTCAGCGATTCTCCGAAATTGGCCATTGGATTTTTAACCAAAAAAATTAATTTTTTGTTTACAACATTATTCCAAGCCATGCGATCCACTCAAATGCACCGAATGCTCATACAACGAGAAGGGGCGGCACTCTTGAGCGGAGAGAAACGCCGTGGAGTCGTTCTTGTTCTCGTGCAAGCTGTTCAAACAGTCGTAGATCATTTGGTCATTGGTGAAAGTGACGGTGTGAACAAATGGGAAGACATAGTTCATGTAAACGTCGCGGAAAATGTTGACATCAACAGTCTGAAAATTTTTGATTAGAAATTAGAAAGTGTGGCATTCTAGGGACGTATGGCTTGCTGCCAAAAACAGATATGGCTCCGGGTGGGGCCCGGGCCAAACTGAAAGGAGCCGGCTTAGAAGTGGCAATCGGGCCGGGCCGGGCCGATTTTTGCGGCCCGGCCCGCGGGCCGAAGTGACCAGGCCGGCCCTGGGCTTTTTCAAATTTGCTCAGGCCCGGCCCGGCCCGGCCCGGTGAAAGCCCAGGCCGGCCCGGCCCTGTTTGGCCCGCTAGTACAAAAAGGTTGAATAAATCTCTTTGCATTTTCTATAGGAAGTTTTTATGCTTTCCAGAAGGTTAATACGTGTGTATAAGTGAAATTAAAACGTCTAGTCGGACGACTGGGACAGCCGAGCAGGTACCTAAAACCTAGCCAAAAGCTGGATTGTGCCGATTTTTTTATCCCATAGGAAGTTAGCTATGTAAATATATGGGCGTTATAAGGCAACATTTTTAATCAAAAACTGCTTAAACACTTTCATTTGCATCAAGTCATCAAATTACAGTGAAATGTTTAAGTTTATCATTAAAAATTCGAAGATTTTCGCCCGACCCTTGCATATTTAGGTGGCATTTTACATATACATAATCAAGGATATAAGGAGTTTCAAAAGATAGTAAAACAGCATATAGGTCAAAAAGGTTTAATTTAATATCCATGCATCAATTCTGCAAAGCATTTGTGCTTTATTTTGCTGGTTTAATATTAATTTTTTTTTTACTTTTCCACCTTCCGGGCCGGGCCGGGCCGAAAGTCGCGGCCCGGCCCGTGGGCCGAAGCGGTCAGGCCGGCCCAGGGCTTTTTCAAATCTGCTCAGGCCCGGCCCGGCCCAGCCCAATCACCGGGCCCGGCCAGCCCGATTGCCACCTCTAAGCCGGCTCATCACTCTCGGGCCAGATTGGCAAAAAAGCAAAAAAAAATCATTTTATTTTTCTCAATTATCGTTTTCCTACTTGACGCCGTTCTACCGTTTATCAGTCTGTCGGGAAAATAATTGTCTCTTTGTCGCCTCTAAAATCACATCGCCGTCGAGAAAATGGATTGTGTCGTGGAAAAATCAAATTGCTTTTCACTTCAGCGATATGATCGGCGCAGCGACATTGCGCTCAATATTTTCCCGACAGACTGATAAAGAAAAAGTAAATACTCAACGTTCAACGCTCAGATTTGGATGAAACTTGGCAAATTATTTTGATAAACTTAAAGCAAGCGATACTAGCGACCTCTGGAGTGATTTGTAGGCATAATTTGATTTTTATCAGTCCGTCGGGAAAGTAATGTGGATTTGGCGCGCGTTGAAATTGCCGATGGCCGCCTTGCGACGGCTAGACACTTCGCCAATCACATCGCTGAAGTGAAAAGCAATTTGATTTTGTCGCGACACAATTCATTTTCTCGGCGACGATGCGATTTTCGATGCGACAGAATGCTCATTATTTTCCCGACAGATTGATATTACCAAAACAACCCTTCAAAAAGTGAAGGTAGGATGTGATCGAACAACTGGTTTTTTATCTTTTTTTTATCACCGTCAAAATATAATTACAACCAAAATATTTTGTAATCACTTATAACGCAACTTTTTTGGCTTGTGACTTACCGGCCGTTGTTTCAATTCCCTGATGAAGACGTTAATCAAACGGGGCTGCTCACAAGCGTAGGGGAAAGTCGCAACAATCGGGTCGATGATGTAGGCTGAAAAGTGCAAGTGTAACTACAGTCTGCACAACAAATCAGAGGGGATCAAAAAAAGTTCTTGTCAGTGTCTATCGTGAAAATAAGAGCGCTCTGTCGCCAAGAAAATAAATTGTGTCGCGGCAAAATCAAATTGCTTTTGACTTCAACGATGCGACTGGCGTAGTGAAATTGTGCTCATTATTTTCCCGACAGACTGATAAATAAGGGAGTTCCTCAAAGTGCGACGCTCAGATTTTAATAAAACTTGGCACAAATTCAGAAAAAAAATTCTAAGAGTACATGTAAGATTCCTAGCTCGCGTTTTGCAGAAACGACAGAGATTTTTAGGTCGAAAGTTGGCAAAAAATCACCACTTTTTCGCAAATTTTGGCAAGAAAAGTTTCAGACCGATTTCTACTGCAGAGAGTAATGTTCCCACAAAAAAAAACAAATTTTTTCCGCAAGAAACTGGCAAAGACCTGGCCAAAAATTGTTTTCTCTCCGAGCACTCTCCGCACTTTGCGGTCTCCCTCGGCCGCAAAATTGGTTGAATATCTCAGCAGCCCCTGCAAAACGCCAGCTTGTAAGAGAAGAATTCTACGCACTTTTTGGAGAAGCTGTAGTACTTACTGCTGGGAAACGGCGACAATTCCCGATTCGCCAGGACTTCGGCGCAAATCTTTCGGTATTGCATGATGAGGTCGATCCAGCTTTCGGGGCAGATCAGGACGTCCGGCAAGAAATCAGCATTCGGGTAGGATTTGGAAGTGTTCTCGGTGACTTCCAATTGAAGCTTGAAGTCCGTGAATTGCATCGGGTTGGCCTTATTTACCTGGAAATGTGAAATATTAGGTTTAGAAGTATGACTTTGTCGTTTTTTTGTTTTGCGTTTTTCACAGGTTGAGATAAAATTTCGCAATTTCTGTTTAGACCATATGAAAGAACGCTTAAAACGCTATCTACTGATATATGTTTCATGTGGTAGGGCTTTATATCACGACTTTTATAAAGCTTCCAATATGACCAACTTCGCCTTAAGAAAATGTCGTTTGCGGGAAAAAAAATTTTTTTTTTTGATTCAAAAATCTCGATGGTTCCTGTAACAATCTAGTCGCTGCGCCGATCGCGTCGCTGAAGTGAAAAGCAATTTGATTTTCTCCGCGACACAATTCATTTTCTCGGCAGCGATGCGACTTGCGACAGAGAGTGCTCACTATTTTCCCGACAGACTGATAGTCCGTTCGCAAGGTCACTATAGCGATTTCGGCGACATACACTGTGAGAAAAAAGGGTTAAGAGAGTTTTTTTGTACAGCTGCCTCCAGTGGGGGGCCTGATACAATGGCAAAAAACGTACCATTTTGCATACGGGAAGTATCAAAAATGTGGCAAAATGCTTCCCTCTACAAGTGGAAAAAAACTCCAAATTCAAAAGCGCTTCCGCTCTTTTTGTGAGGGAAAGAGCACGCCCTTCAAAACGAAGTTTTTTTTCAATTGGAGAGGGAAGCATTTTGCCACATTTTTAATCCTTCCCGGATGCAAAATGGCACGTTTTTTACCACTGGATCAGGTCCCCCACTGAAATTTGTCGCAGCCCCAAATTCTGTGCTTTTTTATGAAAAAAATGACTTGTCGCTGCGAATAAATGGGAATCGTACGCGACGCAAGACACGCTATTTTCCCGCCAGACTATACATACGTAATTTCTAGCCTATTTTTTATCTGCTTGTCGGGAAAATAATGAGGACTCTGTCGCATCAAAAATTTCATCGCCGCTCCGAAAATGAATTGTGTCGCCGAAAAATGGCTTTTCGCTTCAGAGGCGCAGTTGGCGGAACCACATTGTGCTCATTATTTTCCGGACAGACTGATAGTTTCCCAAAAAAATTCGATTTTTTTGAATTTTATTACATATATTAGTTTTTAAATCTCTAAATTTTACCAGTTTCACAGTTTTTTATCAGTCTGTCGGGAAAATATTGAGGGCTCTGTCGCATCAAAAATTGCATCGCCGCTGAGAAAATTAATTGTGTCGCCGCAAAATTATTTTTTTTTCACTACGGCGCCACAACGACATTATGTTCATTATTTTCCCGACAGACTGATATCAAAATTCCCCAAACCAACCCCCACCTGAATGCAGCAATTCCCGTCGCTGTTCAGCAACTTGATCTCATGCGTTCCACAGCTGACATTCTGATGGAACAATTCGATTTTCAAAACGACTTCCGGCTGTCGATAATTCGACCGGACCAGTGCCGAGTACATAACGGCGTTTGAGCACCAGGAAGCCAGCGAAATTCGGGGATGATGCGCCTCGATGGGGAGTTGGAATTCGTTGGAGACGCACTTCAAGTCGTGCTCTCGGTCGACCAGACTCAATTTTATGAAAAAGGATTCGATTTCGCGCGTTTCCGGGTCCTGCGGCTGCTTTCCCGTGTACTGGAGTTTGTGGAATTTGAAGATGTGCGAGACGCGGACGTGCCGTTTGAAGAGGCGGAGGTCCTGAAAAAAATGTTTTCAAGCGAAATATCACAGTTTATCGGGTCCTAGGATAGTTTATCACCTAGTTTGAGGTGTTTGACGTGTACTATTGCAATAATATTCAGATAAAATTTACGGATCTTTGTTTTTTCCCGCAAATTTTGGTCTTTTGTATGTCACAATAACCCAGGATAAGGAAAATTAACGTTAGCAATAACTAAAATTATAAAATGTGGACATGTTGAAAGTCTTCGCCAAGCGTCCGCCGAGCCTTCGCATGGCATCCGCCAAGCAACCAACGGCTTTTGCAGACCACGTAGACACTTCTGGCAACTTTTTTTTGGGTCTCCGCTTGTACTACGCCTCGTATCGACGGATTTTATGTTTGAAACGAAATTTTAGGGAAGCTATGTGAAACTGGTAAAAATTTAGAAATTTCACGGTTAGTAAAATTGAAAACTCAAAAAAAAAAAAATGAAATAAAAAAAATCTTGGAAAACTAACAGTCTGTCGGGAAAATAATAAGCGCAATGTCGCTGCGCCGATTGCGTCGATGAAGAAAAATCAATCTGCTTATGCTGCGACACAATTCATTTTCTCGACTGAAATTCGATTTTCGACAGAGTGCTCATTATTTTCCCGACAGACTAATAGCAAAAACTAAATCCCCGTTTTTTGGATATTTTTTTGGAGCTCCGGGACTTACCATAGCTTTGCTCGGCTCCAACCCGGCCGAATCCTTCAAGCTGATATTGCTCAGCCAATCGTAATTCCAATGGATATCATGGTAGCCCAAGTTGGTCTCACTCAACCTTGGAAACAGGTGAATTGCCATCGAATTGGGGCCGGAGATGTTGTCAACTGAAGAAAATTTTCATTTTCTTCTCAAATACTTTTACATGACTAAAGGGCCGGACTTTTTGGCTTTTCCGGGGGCAATAATTTTTAATGTGAAAAATTATGCCATTTCGGCGATATTTTCGTATTATGTTTTTGGCTGGTTTTCAGGGTGTTTTATCGTTGCCAGCAACTCTTCGAACAGCAAAAAAATGTTTTCGATCCTTATAGGGCCACAAATACATCTTGTTGCATAATGCCAAGAAGCCAAAATTGGCATCCCAATTTTTCGTTTCAAGATGAAAAAAAAATTTTGAAGGGGATCGGGGCAACAATCTTCAATCTCATAGCCCGGAACCGATAAAGTTGGCCGAGGCCGGGCCTAAAATTGCAAATCTGGAGCCCCAACCCAGGCCCCAAAAAATAAGGTCAAGCCCAAAAAAGACTTTTTCCGGGCCGGCCCGCCTTCTGCCATTTTCATACATATCTTTACAGCAAATGAACTGAATACTCACTCGTTCCAAGCGAAGGCCGTCTGGTCGCCAATTCCTCGACCGGCTCGAAACTCGAGGTCTTCTTTTTAGCGGCCGCTTTTCGACTTCTCATCTCGGGAGTCTTCGGTTGATTCACTCCGAAATCCTTGTCACCCACCGATGATTTGCTGACATTACTGCCAGTAGCGCTCTGCTTTTTCCGCGGCACAGCAACAGGCTTTGTTTGGTTCGAGCTGAAAATGAGGATTTAGATTTGTAAAGTTTAGAAATGATTGGCAAAGAATTTGCTTTTTTCAGCTATTTTTAGCAATCTGTCGGGAAAATAATGAGCACTCTGTCGCATCGAAAATTGTGATCGCCGCCGAGAAAATGAATTGTGTCGCGGAGAAAATCAAATTGCTTTTCAATGTTATTAGTATCAGCGCAGTGACATTTTGCTCATTACTTTTCCGACAGACTGAAAACTTTTCACTAAAAAATTTTTTGATTTTTTTTTGAATATACTAATTTTGAAATTTCTAAATTTTACCAGTTTCACAGAGCTTCCCAAAAAATGACTTACTGTCTAAAGCAGAGTGACATTTTTTTCAACTGTTTTAGCCAAGCGTTTGGACCAAAATTTCCGAAAAAAAAATTATACGTTTTTCTTCTGCAGTCCCTCAGAAAACATCTGTATATACGGCTTTAGAGACAAATCAACCCGTCGAAAAATTTAAAAAAAAATAAAAAAATTTTATAAACTCCCCTCAATCGGCACTAATCAAAGGCCTTTATAAAGTCCTACTCCGCTTTAAAATCGTAACTCTACTTTAGGAATTTCTCCATTTTTTAGGTTGTTTTCATCGCATTTTACCTCATTTCACGGACACAAAAGTTTTTAGACTAAAAATTAAAGCTTTAGGGCCGAATTTGAACGGGACCGTTTTCTCAAACCATCCGAATTTTTAATTGACACCTACGTTTCGGTAATAGCCTCTCTGGTGTCGACTTTTGTGATAATCACCGGTCTCTCCTCCTCTTTGCTGGGCCCGGCGCGGGGTTTGGGCGTCTCCTTCGACGTGGAGCTCTCGTTATCGGTGTCGTTCGCATACATCGTCAAATAAAAAATTAATAATCTCAAAAAAGTGAAAAATAATGATATTAAAAAGAGTAATAAAATAACGCCAAGATATACGAAATCCGCGCAGAAATGGCTCTTCCATTAATTTTGGGACAACAAAGAACGCATAGACAACATTTGTTTCCATGGAAACTCAGAAAAAATTATAAAAAGATTATTGGTTTCGCGCATTTTTGCCCTCCGCTTCCGTGGAAATTTTCGGAAAAAAGAGAAAAAACGGAGAAATTCGCGCAAAAGCGAACATAATTTTCTGATTTTTTTCGATTTCCCGACAGTGAGATTCGAACTTGGGCCGATTTTTGGCAAGCTCAAAACCAGTTGCGCCATTCGGACACACCCAGACAAATTTTTCAAAATCAAATTTTATGGAAGTTTAGGGTCCTCATAGCAACTTTTTTCCGATTTTTTTTGCTTTTGACGGCTTCTGAGGCTCGGCCTTTTAGCTGGTTATGCAATTCTCACAACTTTCGATTTTTTCATTTTCTTTTCAAAATTTCAAAATTCAAACTTGGTCTATTTTACTAAAAATTTTATTCCTATTCATTTACAAACATATCTTTCACATTTCCACACGATATACAATAAAATCATCATATTATCCATGACTAGAGAGGTGAGGAAGATCGATAGTAATGTCCGGAGCTGGGATAAACCAGATCTCTGAGTCTCTCCGGGACCTCTTGTTTCGCTTCCTCCAGGACTTTGATCAGGTCCTGAGCGCGCTGGCCGTTGTGGCGGGTGAAGAACGTAACGGCCAGTCCCTTCTTGTCATGCCGGGCGGTGCGACCGATTCGGTGGACGTACTGTTCGGTGCTCATCGGGTAGTCAAAGTTGATGACGGCTTCCACATTGGACACATCTAAAAATGGGCAAAATTCGGGATAAAAAACCAAAAAAATCGGTGTAAAAACCTAAAATTTCGATTTTTTTTGGAGAGCGATACATGACGAGTAATGGAAAAAAATTAAAATTTTTGGATTTTTATACCGATCTTGGCCATGTTTAGATGCGGGGAGCGACGATTGGGGAAAAACACAACTGGGGAAACCAAAAAGTATTGTTTTGTCGATGTAAGTTTCGAAAGTAGAATAACCGATGGCGCTGATTTTGAAAATGACATTCATCTTTTTTTATCGTTACTTTTTACCCTAAACAGTACTGTAAAGTAGTAATTTTTGGAAATTTTTTCAAATACTCGATTTAGGGGATTTCGAGGGTCCTCATTTCAAACCAGAAAAAAATGAAGAAGATTTTCGAAATCACCACCATCGAAAACCTCTAAATCGAGTATTTGTGAAAAAAAAATTTCAAAAAATTACTACTTTACAGTACTACTTAAGGAAAAAAGTAACATTCCAAAAAAAATGAATGTCATTTTCAAAATTCGCGCCTCGATTATCCTTATTTCGACACTTACATCAAAGAAAATAATACTTTTCAGTTTTCCCAATTGTCTTTTTCCCCAATCGTCGCTCCCCGCATCCAAACCTGGGCAAAATCGGTATAAAAATTCAAAAATTTCGATTTTTTTTCATTACTCCTCATGTATAATATAACAAGCCCTACCCAATCCTCTGGCCGCGATATCCGTGGCCAACAAGATTCTTCCTTTGCCCTTTTTGAACTCCTCCATCACCTGATCCCTCAATTGTTGGGTTTTATCGCCGTGAATACAAAGAACCGGCCACTTTCTGCCCAGCCGGATCTCCATTTCATCGGCCTTTCTCTTGGTGTCAAAGAAGGTAATCACTTTTCCATACTCATTCTTTCCCAGCAGCTCGTCCAACAGGCTCTCCAGGCGCTTGGCCTTCTCATGTTCCTCCAAGACCTCCACTTTTTGCGTGATATTATGATTGGCCGACAACTCCAGCGATCCCACGTTCAAAAAGACCGGGTGGGTTTGGAAAGTCTTGGCAAATTCCCTGACTTCCACCGGCCAGGTCGCGCTGAACATGAGGGTTTGTCGGTCGGGGCGAATTTGCGAAATAATCGCGCGGATTTGGTCCTCGAACCCCATCTCCAACATGCGATCCGCTTCATCCAGCACGAGGAAGGAGCAGTTGCGCATGGTGGTCACCCGCGAATGGATAAAAGCGAGCAGTCTTCCGGGCGTCGCGATACAAATATCCACGCCATCGCGGAGCTCGTAGTGCTAAAATACCGACATAAACATCACACGTCAATCCAAAATAGAAAAAAAAATTTCCCGCCCCTTTTTGGTGATGCGTTCAAAACGAAATGTCAATATCCGATAAAAAGCTTTTTCTTATCTTTCCTCTTCCTTTTCGAGAAAAAGCAATTATTTCGGACGAGAAAAAGTGTCGATAATTTCACGACATTTCGTCTCTCGTTTAAATCAATGAAAACAATACGAAGTTTCGAAACGGTTCAGGAAATGCGCTGGATTGACGTGCATCAAATATTCCCATCTACACCTAGTCCAACACCCTCATACCTGCTGTTCTCTGGGGACTCCTCCAAAAACGGCGCAGACAGTCAATCCCACCGCTGCGCAATACTCCTTGGCCACATCGCATGCCTGCTGCGCCAGCTCTCGGGTCGGCAACAGGACTAAAACCCTCGGTCCATGCGAATCTCCTTTGGCCGGCTGGTTCAGCGTGTGCACAATGGCTGGCAGAAGGAACTAAACTCAAGAGAAATACTCAAAAAAGATTCCACTTACGCCAAGAGTCTTTCCGGACCCGGTTCTCGCAATCGACACAATGTCTTGGCCACTCAACGCCACCGGCCACGAGATGCATTGGATCAAGGTGGGCTTATCGTAGACTCTCTGGAGAAGCTCCAAAATTGCGGGCGGAAAGCCCGGTTCGTGGAACTGGAAGCACGGACGGGGGATGTTGTCCCCGTGCAAGAGGATTTGGTGCTCGTCGATCCAGTCCTGCATCTCCTCGGCACTTCTTTCCTTCACGGCTTCGGACTCGGTGTAAAAGTCCTTTTCCAGCTGCGGGAGTTGTTGCCTCGACCAGTCCACTTGACGAACATTACACAGCCGCATAAAGTCGGTATTCAAGCGCTCATCGGTTCGGCTGTCCAGATAATTGCCTTGTGGAAGGTAGGGCGGAGGTGGTGCAGCTCGGCCGCCACGGCGCGAAAACGATCCACGCGGCTCATCATTGTCGAACCGGCGGTTGGAGGTGAATTCACGGGTCGGCGAGCCTGAAAAAAATCTAAAATTGGTACAATTCAAAAAATTTTCGCTCAAACCTCATGTACAACATAAAATACCCGTCAAAGCCCTCGTATTTTACATTTTTCAGCCTTGAAATAAATTTCAAATCAAAATCAAACCCTGAAGATTCATTTCCAATAATATTCACGCCTAAAATCGCATAAATTCCCTTCAAAATTCCCTAAAACATCAAACAAACACCTATTTTCATCCCAAAAACTAATTTTTCCACCAAAAAATCTCATAAACCAACCGTTCTCTATTCAAAATCTCAGAGTTGATCTAACTTCCTATTCAAAAACACCTTTTTCTCCTCCATATTCGATAAAAATCAAAGAGAATCGGCCAGTTTTCCGCAAAAAGACGTAAAAACCCTTTCCCGAATTCCGAAAGAAAAGCGAAGAAAAACGAAAAGAGCCGAGACGTGTCCGACCATAGCTCAGTTGGTAGAGCGGAGGACTGTAGTTCCAACGGAAATCCTTAGGTCGCTGGTTCGAATCCGGCTGGTCGGAATTTGTTTTTGCCATCATTTTTGATGGAAAAACAGCCAGATTTTGGGATTTTTTGAAAAAATTGCGATGGTAAAACGTGTTATCTTCATTTTACTATTCTAAATGAAGCATTTAATTGTTGGTAAAGATCAATTTGTGTCAAAAAATGATAAATTTTTCATAAATTTTACCTAAAGTAATATAAAAATGGGTTAAAAAATTCCGCCTCTCTTACCATATTCGCTCCTGCCTCCTCTGGGACGATCAAAGCCTCCAGAAGACGGTTTCCGCTGAGGCGCTTCATAAAAATCGTCATCCTGTCGGTTCTCACTCCGGCCAAAATTTTGGGGCTGTGAAAAGCCGCCTTGAGCTCGGCTTTGGAACTCCTTTCGTTGGTATCCATTGTTCGGAGGAGGGCCTCTGGACGAGGAGGGAGATGAATCGCGACGTTGTTGACGATTACCACCACGGGAATCTGAAAAAATGCTCTTTGGTTTTTGCTGACGGTGAAGATACAGTAACCTAAAAATCGAAAAAAAAATAATTTGTAAAAAACTTACATGACTTAGGGGCTGTGTTTGAGGCGAAACGAGAGGATCTTGGGTTTTTGTAACGATCCGCTTGACCGCCGCTGAACTCATCGTTGCTGAACTCGTCACGTTCCCTTCGTCCAGCGGCATCGTCAACATTCGGGCCATCTCCGGCGATAATTGGGGCCGAGAATCCACCAAAAGCTGGAATAAATTGCAATTACACCGCATTTTCGTTGTCTTCCTAAACATACGAAACCAAAGTAAAACACTTACAACTAGGTTGACTTGATTTCCTCATGTCTCAAGTGAAAGCCAATCAAGTCAAAGTCTCTTGGGAACACCCTCGGTCTGTTCCAACGACGATCCGGAACCCAGCTACCCACTTGATCGATGCAAGTGGAAAATGAGCGAAATTTGCATTTATACCGAATTTATACCCACGAAACGTGGCACGAATTAGCATACGCTGAGAAAAAATTATCTCGCAATCTTCACGGAAACGAGAAAAACTAGGATACCCCAAAAACTGATCACTCTAGCCATGGATAATATAAAATACAACTCAAACAAATCAAAAGTCAAGTGAAATTCATTCAAAAACCATTTATTCATTCAAAAATAACAAGAAACTTAGGCGGAGGTTTTGCTCTTCTTCTGGGCAACGGTACCTTCTCTGAATCCATTTCTGCAAAGAAAAATATATTAGAATGGCAAAAAAATTTCATAAATTGCGAACCCATCTCTCAACTGATATTTTAGTTGCTATTATATAACATTCGGCAAGATTATTGCAAAGGAAATAGAAATCGGAAGTGATCTGCTTAGTGCAATATCGCTTTGTTTTGGAAATTAATTGGACGTAAATGCAACTCAGAAGACTTTCTAAGACGTTTTAGGAAAGAATCAGAAACCACATAAATTTTTAGACCAAAAATTATATTGTCCTTGTCGGTTCCTCAAAGATTTTGCAAAAATGGAGATGTACAACAAAGTCCGAATACGAGTACACGTATTTTACCCCCGAAACCACCTTATTCTAACTATACAATCCCAAAAATTTCCTCAAAGCACCTAAAAAACCAACAAAAAACGAAAATCTTACCTGAACTTGCGCTGGACCTCCTTGAGATGGCGCTGACGGCCAGTGCCGGTGGTTCTTCTGCGGATCGACTTGACCGACCATTGGAAGGTGCGCTTGCGGGCGGCGGGGAACCCGCACGACGAGCAGGTGTGCTTCTGGATGTGGTAGGAGGAACGACCGCAGCGACGGCACAGGGTGTGCGTCTTGTTGTGGCGCTTACCAAATGAAGTGGTACCCTTGGTCATTGTTCACCTGGAATAGAAAGAATAACCTCTCAGCAATATTATTCAACAGTTTTCCGCGCGAAATTTCAAGAAAAAACAAACATTTTCAAAGAACATTGAGATTGATACCTAAAATACTATACGTTGCAAAAATAAGACAGAAAGACGCTATAAAACATCAAAAAACTTTTTCAAAATATTATCCATGGTCTTCTCCAGCTGTAACAGAGCAAAAACACCAAAAAATCGATAAAATGTCAACTCAAAAATTAGTAGACCATCAAGACCATGGATAATATAGCCAAAGCCCTCGAAAAAAATCAAAAAATATCCCCGAAATCAATCAAAATACATCTAGAACAACAACAACTTCCCAAATTTTGCAAAAAAATGTCAAAAATAAGCTTTGTGCAATCCCATCCGACCGTAATCCTGATCCTCAGTTTGGCGCGAATTCAAATTTCAATTTCTTGGCGTTCTGTTCCACAGCCAAATTTGGGCAAATTGATGAGCCAAATTGCAAAAAAAGAATGTAAAAAAAGCTGAATGAAGGATTTTAAATAATTTTTGAAAATAAAACTTACAAGGGCTCGGCAAAACCTCGTCCCCTGGTTTTTCCTTGAAACATATACCATTTGAAAGAGCGTAAAAAACTGGTCTAGAAGCAACTTTTATTAGCTGCTATTATCCACTTACGCGCTGGCTAGCGAGAATTTTTTAGTTCTAGGCTAGTCTCACCCTTCTTTGGAGAAAACAAACGCGATCGGTTTCAAAAGCAAAATGAAGCAGTGCTTTGGTGGCCTAGTGGGGAAAGGCGCTGCTCAAGGACTTGCGAAGCAGGTTCGAATCCTCTTTTGAATTTTTTTATTTTTCTGGCTAGTATGGAACAAATAGAGTCAGAAAGTTATGTTTAATTTTTGACTAGACTTTTGCGTATACTCAGGTCCATTTTAAAAGAAAAAACTACAACTTTTTCGTTTTTTTTTATTTTGGCGTCTTTGACCTTGTAGTGGGACATCCTGGGTGGTTGAAACTTTCGAAGGCTTTCATATTTTTACTAGGAATGCCCGCTAACGGAAAGTACGTAAAAATTGAGTCTGAAAATGTCTTACATGTTTGGAACATCTTCGTTTGTCTTGAGTTACAGGACCTAAAACATCGCGCAATCACTCATAGAGTACATCAACCTGAATGGCTCAAACTCAGAAAACCTTTTGTATTTTTTAACATAGGTTGAAGCGTTCAACCTCATAAATGACTAATATTTATATGAAAAGTGATTCTTCGATCTCGTTCACGTCTCAGAAGCAAAGAGTTCCAAAATCCAATTTGGAAATTTTAAAAAATGCCCGCTAGCCAGCCCGTAAGTGGATAATAGCAGCTAATTCAAGGTGATCCTAGACCATTTTTTTACGCTCTTTCGAATGGTATATGTTTCAAGATAAAACCAGGGGACGAGGTTTTGCCGAGCCCTTGTTAGTTTTGGACAATAATTTTGGTTAAAATATTATTTCAGGTATATCAGATCAAAATTTTTCGATTTTTTGCCAAAATGATGACTAAAAATGTCATCACAAAGGTGAATATTGAGCTTAAATTAAATTTACATGAATTTATTAGATTTTACTGCCAACTACAGGCAAAATAGTCCGTTCGAATATCTAAAATTTGCATTATAATTGCGAAAAACTTGAAATTTTCGAAATTACAGTATCTTTATAAACTAATTTGATTTTTTTTGCGAATTGTAGCCATTTTGCACCTTGGTTAATCCAATAAAGTTAAAAACAATTGAATTTTATTCTGATTTTGCCATTTTTTATATTACTTTAGGCCCGAATTGTCATCAAATACTTTCAGCGACCGTATTTTACCTTTTCAACCCCTAGTACGATTCAAAAGGCTTTTCAGATCACAAATGATTGTTTTTACTCCACAAAACATAAGCGCACTTTTCTCTCCTCTTCTCCTTTCCACCCGCTTTGACCTTGTTTTACGTACGCACCCCCTCCGAAGAGACCTTCCTTAATATAAAAATATCTACGCACCCTCGCTTCCCTTCACTATGATGCCTTCGTTTTCGCGTTAAGCCAACAAAAAGGTCTTTTTAAATACGCGGGCCTTGAAAATCAGGGAAATTCTGGGGAAATTACGGTACTTTTTCTCTAAAACATTTTTCTTTCCAACCCAAGAATATTTTCCGAATATTTTTTTGTCAATTTTATGGGATTTTAGGGCGATTTTTGTGGGAATTTGAATAAATTTTTACAGAGTAAGTAGCCAAAGGCTTGAAGAACATATTTTTTGGGTTTTCAATTTGAAAAAAATAGTTGAAAATAATGAAAAAAATGAAAAACTTTTAAAAAATCTTGTCGAAATAGTTGATAAAACCGCTACTAATAAATGAAATGGATATTTTTACGATGTTATAGGTATATTAAAATAGCATTTTTTGCTGTGGGAACCCAAAATTTACAGATTTTTAGAAAATTTATTTTTTATAATTTTATGATTTTCTCGATTTTTTGCTTTGCCTAAGGCAATTAGGTGAACATTAAATAAATCTAATGTATGTAACAATCTTGGTAAGAACTTTCATCCGATCTGAATTCCTTTTAAGGGCAACAAATTTAATTTTTCCCCAGGAACCCCTAAAATTTTGATTTTTTTCCCCATTTTCCTTCAAAAAAGTCTTTTTTTTATTTTTTCCAACAAAACATGGCTTACATAATATTGAAATTTCCTCTCCAACAACTTTCGGTTCCATCTGTATCTTGTTTCATTCAAAAAATTGCAAAATTATCCGAAAAATTGCAGGTAAACAATGACCAAGGGTACCACTTCATTTGGTAAGCGCCACAACAAGACGCACACCCTGTGCCGTCGCTGCGGTCGTTCCTCCTACCACATCCAGAAGCACACCTGCTCGTCGTGCGGGTTCCCCGCCGCCCGCAAGCGCACCTTCCAGTGGTCGGTCAAGTCGATCCGCAGAAGAACCACCGGCACTGGCCGTCAGCGCCATCTCAAGGAGGTCCAGCGCAAGTTCAGGTGAGGAAATTTTTACTCAGCGTTTTTATTTGCAAGTTTAGGGCGCTTAGAGGCTGTAACGAGGTTGTGGTGAAGCTCAGGTCTTTTTCCTTGTGAAACCCCGCACGTTTGTTGTAGATCGGGTAATTTTGGATATCAGTGTGTCGGAAAAATAATAAGCGCTCTGTCGCATCGAAAATCACATCGCCGATGAGGAAATGAATTGTGTCGCGGAGAAAATCAAGTTGCTTTTCACTTCAGCGACGCGATTGGCACAGCGACATGGTGCTCATTATTTTCCCGACAGACTGATAAAAAAGCGATTACAGTTTCCCTCAGTTGAGTCCTATCGCTTTTTGATCTATTCTAATTTCCCTTGCGGGGACTCTGATGACCTTAAAAATACAGTAAATCCTTTGCGACACAAAAATTTAGGCGGTGAAAAATAATTTTCTTACTAACTTCTCTCACAAGAATCTAATTTTTGCCTAAAAAACCACTCTATAAAAATCTTGTATTGCTTGTTTTGAACTTACTTTTGAATTACACAAATTTAAAATGCTTTGGAGTACCCTAAAATTTCACTCAAAATGATATAGTCATCAAAAATTTCGTGGTCAAAAAATAATCGTTTTGACCAAAGAATCAGTCTAAACCTTTCATATTGAACATCAAAACGGCTCTTTACTATTCCGCTCGCAATGTCGCTGGAGTGATTTTCGCGGAATGCACTGTGAGAAAACAAAAGTTCATTTTGCACTGTGCTGTACCGTGCAATAGGCTTTTTTTCGGCTGTCGCTCGCAACTTGGCCTTTTCTGTTCAGTGAAACGCCAAAAAATATCTCTAGCAGCTTTGCAAACGGACTACTTTAAATAAGTTTTATTTTAATTTAAATTAACTCTTACTTCCAAAAATCCCCATTTCTCTGTTGTCTAACAGCTTCATCATTTTTTACAACTTTTCCCAGCCACAAGTGCCCATTTAAGCCTATTTTTATATTATAATTTAAAAAACCTTACTTTATACAGTATGCGTCATAATTATAACCGCACTTTAAAAATGAGTGTAACTTTTGTGATTGTGAATAGAAATGTGTCATATTTGGCACCAATGTGCATCAGTGTACTAGAAATGATGTCCCAAAAAATTATTTTGAAGAGTTTCCGTATTTTAGAGAAAAGCTGCATAAACCAAAATTATGATACTTTTCGGTGTCGCAAAATTATAACCGCACTTGCGAATTTGGGGTATTACCCTAATAAAAACAAAGGATATCAATAACTGATGTTTAGTTACGCTCCCTGAGGCCTCAATAACGCCCATCACACCACCCGAAACCCTCTGGGCAAATTTTTTTGGCGCATCCTGACCCATCTTGTCCCTGAACCGGAAAACGGCAGATTTTCGCTTAGTTACGGTAGAATACTGCTTGTTGTAGCGATGTAATCAACGGGCGAGGAGGCCCCACAAGTTTCCTATCGGATTTAAACCCAGGGAATATGAGAGCGAGTCTATGGTGGCAAACGCCTTGCTGTCAAAGGAACTGGTATGTCGACCTGCTATGGTGGACGTGGGCATTCTCCAACAAAAGTATACCCAGATTGCCAGTACGGAACCAGATCTTCGCCTAAGACTTCGTAGTACTCGAAGCTATTCATTTGAGTTGCTGTGGCCGCGGACGGAAGGCCACCGGCTTTTTTGAAGGCGCCCCAAGTCATCAACGGGCGGCCTCTATAATTACGACACGAGAAGCGACGCGATACGTTTTTAATGTCATGCCACTGGTATGTAAAACCGTCAGGGCATCGTGTGACTACGCAATACACAAGGAATATGGTATTGCAACGGTCTAACGTCGGTTTCAGCGACCTTCCACTAATCAACCTCTGTTGTTAATGTCTCCTTGGCAAGTTTCGGCTGTGGATTGCCGAAGACCGGGGTCAGCTGGGGTCACAGCTTCACATAATACCTTATGATGACGTCGCTGTGTTTTCCGACCCTCAGCACGGTGCTTCCGCTACTAATGAAGCTCAGTTCTTGATTTAAGTGAACCCCAGAGATGGCGGAGTTAGCAGTCCGGCGGATTATTTCTCTTCAACCAGAAGCAGTGGTAAACTTTTGTCTGCCATAACATTTAGAATTGTTAAAAGCTTCCGAGGCGACCAGAAAGTTCCTCACAACTTGGGCCCAACGGTCTTACTGCGCGAAAATCTGCCGTTTTCCGATTCAGGGACAAGATGGGTCAGGATGCGCCAAAAAAAATTGCCCAGAGGGTTTCGGGTCGTGTGATGGGCGTTATTGAGGCCTCAGGGAGCGTAACTAAACATCAGTTATTGATATCCTTTGTTTTTATTAGGGTAATACCCCAAATTCGCAAGTGCGGTTATAATTTTGCGACACCGAAAAGTATCATAATTTTGGTTTATGCAGCTTTTCTCTAAAATACGGAAACTCTTCAAAATAATTTTTTGGGACATCATTTCTAGTACACTGATGCACATTGGTGCCAAATATGACACATTTCTATTCACAATCACAAAAGTTACACTCATTTTTAAAGTGCGGTTATAATTATGACGCATACTGTATATTCTAATAATGAGTAATCATTTTCAGAAACGGATTCCGCGAGGGTACCGTCGCCAAGAAAGCCCAGAAGTCCTAAACTGTAAACGCTCCAACGTTCCGGCGGCTTGGTCATAAAGCGTGCCGACTGTTTTTGTTATTCGTTTGTTGTAAACTTAACAATAAAATGTTTTACCAAATGAAGTTTGTTGCAAATACGATCAAATCTTTGTAGTCGGAGGGTCAAAATGTCTTGACATGTCAGTTTGTCGGGAAAATAATTAAAAAAAAATAAGAAAAATTTCGCATCGAAAATCGCATCGTCAATGAGAAAATGAATTGTGTCGCGGAGAAAATCAAATTGCTTTTCATTTCAGCGACGCGATCGGCCAGTAATATTACGCTCATTATTTTCCCGACAAACTGATAGAAAATTTTGATGAAATTTGGTACAGATTTTAATCACATATGTATATGCGAGACTCCAAGCTTGCGTTTTGCAGAAAATGCTAAAATTTTTATGTTGAGAGTCAGGAAAAAAAATGTGTAACTTTTCAGCGAAATTAGGTATAGAATGTTTCATTGATATTCCTACCGTAGAGGGAATGTTTTCAAAAAAAAATCAATTGTTTTCCTAATGAAACTGGCATTCACTGACTGCACTCCACTTTTCGGGTACTCTCTGGGAAACAAAAATTGTTGAGTATCTCAGGTTTCCCTGGAAAGCGAGAGCTAAAAGTTTCAAGAGTTGATATATGGCTTATGCACGAAGTGTGTGCAAAGTTTATAAAATAATACAATAAATATTACATATACGTCACACTTCAACCACTTCCCTTGTTGGAGCTTTATTTCGGAGAATGATGAAAAACTTCAAACTCACGCTTTGCAAATGGCGAATCACCGCCCCAGAAAAGCCAAATTTCAAATACATCGGCAAAGTCACGGCGGAGAAATTCAAAGAAGGAGGAAGGAAAATTCTAGAGTGGCCCACCCTGTATGTATTAGTAAACTTATATGTTGTCTTCCTTGTTGCTGAAACGTTTCTGCCGACGGAAAACAGCTAATCAAATACTGAAAGAATCGAAAAATTTGGGTCTAAAACCCGACTTGACATGAATGACATTCTAAAATTTGTTAGGCTCTGAAGTTTACAAACGATGAGAAATTTTTTGATATTTCTAATCGTATTTTCGCAAATCACTGCGGTAAAATGTGGATTTGGGGACATGTTCAAGAAGAAGTGCCGGTCCGGCTCAATGGCGGTTGTGCGTAAGTGAGCAGGGGGAAATTGGGAAGGAACGTGCTGCTTGGTCTTTGGCAGACTTGTCATTAGTAAACCCAGACTAAACCCAGGCTGTTTAAATTAAAACTTGTAAAATACGAAAGAATAAATCCATTGCTTATTCAATTTTTGTAATATTACAGCCTGTCTCATGGGAAAAACTTGCGTCGTGGGCAAGTTCGTTTGTGAGGATGTGGGAGGGAAGAAATATTGTTGTACACCACCAAAAGATACTACTCCCACCACGCCGACAACGCCTACAACTCCGACTACACCAACGACGCCTACAACACCCACAACGCCTACAACAACACCTACTACTCCCACAACACCTACCACGCCTACAACACCCACAACGCCTACAACAACACCTACTACTCCCACAACACCGACGACTCCAACTACTCCAACTACTCCTACCACTCCGACTACGCCCACAACACCTACAACGCCAACAACACCTACTACGCCAACGACGCCCACTACTCCAACTACGCCTACAACTCCGACTACACCAACGACGCCTACAACACCTACCACGCCTACAACACCTACCACACCGACAACACCTACTACTCAGACGACGCCCACTACTCCAACAACGCCTACGACTCCGACCACGCCAACCACACCTACAACGCCAACCACACCTACAACGCCGACTACACCCACAACACCGACTACTCCCACAACCCCTACGACTCCCACCACGCCCACTACACCCACGACTCCCGCCGCAGCTAGTAAGTTTATCTTTACTGATTTGTTTGCGGCGTTTTGCGCTGACCACCGCAATACAGCGTAAAGGTTACTATCAGCATGCTGGGAAAATAATGATCACCCCGTCGCATCAAAAATTGCAACACCGCCGCTGCAAAAACAAATTGCTTTTCACTTCAACGACGCGATTGGCGCAACGCAGGTCAATCCAAAATAGAGGAAAAAATTTCCCGCCCCTTTTTTGGTGATTCGTTCAAAACGAAATGTCACTATCCGATAAAAACGCATTTTCTTATCTTTCTTCTTTTATCGAGAAAAAACAATTATTTATTTCGGGCGAGAAAAAGTGCCGATAATTTCGCGACATTTCGCCTCTCTTTTAAATCAATGAAAACGGTACGAAGTTTCGAAACGGTTCAGGAAATGCCCTCGATTGACGTGCAACGGCATTGTGCTCATTATTTTCCCGACAGACTTATACTAATCGCGCTCCGAATTTGCAATTTGCATCATGCATTTTTTTAAATTTTTTTGCATTGTCGCGGCAATTTTTCGTTTCTACGCAAGCGACATGCGTGTTTACCCGCGGCAAAAGGATTGTCCGAACTTTTCAACGCAAGCAGCGCTACTGGCATAAACTATAGCATTAATAAATACAAAACACGCGGAATTAATCCACATGATCCCTGGACCTCTCAAAAACACCCCTTCAAAAACAACGACCCATTTTTTAGCCCCATGCGCGAATGGTGCTGTAGATACGACGACCGACTGTCAAAGACCCGATGTGAAGGTGCTGTGCAACCGAAAAGAGTACATTAAAATATTGAAAGAGGAGTGTCCACAGACTTGTGGGTTGTGCGATTCAACGATCCCTTCTCAAGACCAAGACGGCGACAATGATAATGGAGGAGGTGACAGCGATAATGAAGGTGGCGGAGATGCCAGCTGCGTGGATAATGATCCAAAGTAAGCATTTCTTAAGGGCCAGGGCAGCTACTTTTGAATCGCACTTTTTTTCGAAAAAACGTCCCACTTTGCATCCGATAAGTATCGAAAACAGTAGCAAAATGCCACCCTCTCCGACTAAAGAAACTCCGTTTTCAAGCGCGCGCCCTTTCCCTCACAAAAATAGTGGGCGACTTTTGAAATCAAAGTTTTTCACGTGGAGAGAGTGGCGTTTTGCTACATTTTTAAATATTTCCCGGATGCAAAACGGTACGTTTTTTGCCACTGGATCAGGCCCGCCACTGTAGTAGGGACTCGAGGAGTCTCAGTCGCCATGTTTCACTATCTCCTTACTAAAATCCGCAACGTTTTAGCTGCCCCACATTTGTGGAGAATGGATTCTGTAATCTGGGCTTTTATTCGGATGAGACGAAGAAAGCGACTTGTGGAAAGTCATGTGGACTATGTTAGTGTGAAGGAACACCAAAATTGCGGTCAATGGGAAAAGTGACAGTGAAAGAAATAGTACTCTGTTATTGATCTTACAACTTCGTTCCGGATTTTGACAATAAACGGCCTAATTTTGCATAAAAATGTTTTAAAAGATTAGTGGAAATTATATCGTTATATTGCAAAGCGCATTTTATGGACTCAAACTTTATTGTTTGCAGCAAAAAAGTTGAAATCTGGTCTATCGTCCGGGAAACATCCGTCATCGGGCTCTGGTGGCATATCCGTGTCCGCGCACATTCCACCGGTCTTTCTGCACTTATCTTTCATTTTCTTAAAACGGAATTGTGACAGAGCGGCATGATTTTCGGTAGCTTACAGCGAGCACTTGCATTACAATCAACACACTTTTGCCAACGAGATAGAAGTTTATTTATGCCGGTAGCGTAAAAATCCCGAGTTCTGGAGGCGATAAAGTCGGCGAAGGCGGTTTTGGCGTCGTCTTGGTTTTTGAAGCATTTCTCCTGCAAGAAGTTGTCCAGATGCTGGAAAAAGTGGTAGTCGGTGGGCGAGAGGTCGGGCGAGTATGGTGGATGAGTGAGAGTTTCATAGCCCAATTTGTTCAGCTTTTGCAGGGTCGGTCGTGCAACGTGCGGCCGAGCGTTGTCGTGGAGAAGAATTGGCCCCTTCATATTGACCAATCTCGGGCACATATGTCGGAGCTTCTGGTGCATTTCGTCGATTTGCTGGCAGTACTTCTCCGCCGTAATCGTTTTGCCCGGATTCAGGAAGCTGTGATGGATGAGACCGGCTGCAGACCACCAAACAGTCATCTTTTGGTGGAGTTTCGGCTTCGGGAAGTGTTGAGGAGCCTCATCGCGGTCCAACCATTGAGCCGAACGTCGCCGATTGTCGTAGAGGATCCACTTCTCATCGCACGTCACAATACGATCGAGAAAAGGGTCGTTTTTGTTGCGGAGAAGCAGCGTAGAAGACACGTCAAAACGACGATTTTTTTGATTTTCGTTCAATTCGTGCGGCACCCATTTGTCGAGCTTTTTTGACTTTCCAATTTGCTTCAAGTGATTGGAAATGGTCCCAATGCTTACGCCAAAGTCTTCTGCAAGCTGTCGAACAGTTATTCGCGGATTTGCCTCTACTTCAATGACGTTACTCGGTCGACCACGCTCTTGATCGTCAAGGTTCAGATCGCCTGAGCGGAATTTTTTAAACCATCTTTGTGCGGTGCGTTGATCAGGTGAAAGGTCTCCAAAAGCGGTGACGATATTTCTTGTTGCTTCAGCTGCGTTATGCCCGAGTTTGAACTCATACAATAAAACTGCATGAAATCACGATTATTTATCCTAAAAACAAATGAATTTTATGACATAACTAAGTCATAAAAACATTATCAAAACATATAAACAGATAATTCGAAATCAGCAAAACCTAAGCTTTCGAATGATATATAACACTTGATACATATTAACTTTTATTCAAGAAAAACAACGTTTAAAGTAAAGCAACAAAAATCCGACATTTCGTACTGCACGACCTTAACTAATTAGCGACGCGATTGGTCAAGATTTTTACGTCAAATGTTGAAAAAACGTGGCCTTTTTTTGACGCATGAAAAGTTTCAAGCTCGTTCCTACCGTGGGGTGTAACCTCTCCACAAAAAAAGGTAAAGCTCAGATTGTGTTTTTCTCTGTGACCACTCTCCGCATTGCGTGTACTCTCTCGGCTGTAGGCATGGCTGCAAACCGGGCCAGCCCGGCCCGGCCCGGGCTTAAATCTCCAAGCCCGGGCCCGGGCCCGGGCTTGGAAAATTTGGAAAGCCCGGCCCGGTTCGGCCCGGAAAATTTTTATACTAGGTTGGAAAGAAAGAAAGCGGGAAATGAAAGGAAAATTATGACAAATTTTCGCAAAATGTAAAAAAAATTTAGCAAAACCTAGGTACATAAGGTTACTTTACTACTTAGTACGTTCGCTATCAGCAGTGTGTTCGAAAAAATGAAAAATTCTATCGAAAAAGCTTATTTTTTCCTTTTTTCCGAGCAAAACTTAGATTTCAAAAAAACCGGGCCGGCCCGGGCCGGAAAATTTTGCAAGGCCCGGCCCGGAGCCATGCCTACTCGGCTGCAAAGATCGTTGAATATCTCGGCCGTACTTGAAAGGCGCGAGCTAAAACTTTCATGACTTGATATGTAGCCTATGCCTAATGTGTGCGCAAAATTGAAAAAAAAACCTGAGCGTCGCACGTAGGCTAACTCTTTCTTCTAGTAGAGATGGGAATCGGGCCGGCCTGGGGCTTTTTCAAATAAGCGCAGGCCCGGCCCGATTGACACCTCTACCTTCTAGGACATATAAGGTGGGTTCCGGGTAAATACAAATTTTTTTGGGCCACGTGGACATGGCTGAAGTATGGATGTTCAATTTTCACAGCGTTCAACATTCGGCTATGGTCTCTAAATTCGGATTTTGTTACAGTATCATCAATACAAAATGGGTGGAGTTTGAAGTCGAGAGTGTAAAAAAATGGGCGGAGTTAACGGAGCAGAGTAAAACGCGACTTTGGGCCATGTCTCACGAAATTTTCAGATTTAAAAAAAAAATTTTCCGTGGCCGAAACCCGTGGCTGAGTCCCGTGGCCCAAAAAAATTTGAATTTACCCGGAACCCACCTTATATGCGAGAAGACTAGCAAACAGGGTAAAAAAGGCAAGGCCAAGTGCACTGTATGTTCGCAATAAAAGACGTAAAAAGCCATAAGTTTACACACATAATGAACGAACACAAGTACGTCTTCAACGTTGAGGTCATTGCGTTTCATTAAAAAATACCCGGATTTATGTCATATGCGATGTGTTCGGTCCGTAAACCCGACAACTGAGCAAACACGACCCAAAACATAGAAAAGTTCTGTCGCAGCTTGAAGCTCTCATTTAACGTCCTGTTCAACCGCCTCGAGCAGGCCGCAGTTTTTACAAAGTTGGGTCTAAAACCCGACTTGAATGACATTCTCAAATTTATAAGGTTTGGAAGTTTGCAAACGATGAGGAATTTTTTGATATTTCTAATCGTATTTTCGCAAATCACTGCGGTAAAATGTGGATTTGGGGACATGTTCAAGAAGAAGTGCCGGTCCGGCTCAATGGCGGTTGTGCGTAAGTGAGCAGGGGGAAATTGGGAAGGAACGTGCTGCTTGGTCTATGGCAGACTTGTTAGTAAACCCAGACATGGCCGAAGGCTTGGTTGAGGGGCTTTAGCATATTTTGAGAAGGGCTGGGACATATCACAAGCACCGGCAGATTGGTACTCTAGTTCGGTGGCCTCTTGGGCCTCTTCCGGGCCCTTGAGGCTTCGCTATCGGTTTTTACACTTACAAATGAAGTACTTGAAGTGTGACGCTCAGATTTTGATGAAACTTGGCCTAAATTTAGAATAATTTTTTCTAAGATATATGCGAGAATCCTAGCTCGCGCTTTACAGAAACAACCGAGATTTTTAGATCAAAAGTCGGCGAAAATTTAGGACTTTTTGCCGAATTTCGGCACGAAAAGTTTCATGCCTATTTCAACTGTAAAGGATAATGTTTCTACAAAAAATCAAATTTTTCCGCACGAAACTGCCAAAGTTATGGCCAAAAAGCGCTTTTCTCTCTGACCGCTCTCCACGTTTAGCGTGCTCTCTCGGCGACAAAAATCGTTCGATATCTCGGCGGCGCCCGCAAAGCGCGAGCTAAAACTTTCAGGAATTGATATTTAGTCCATACCCGATGTGTGTGCAAAATTTAAAGAAAATCTGAGCGTCACACTTGAAGTACTTCCCCTGTTAGTTTTGATTTTACAGAGAAGTCAGAGAAAAGTTACTTACCTTTATCAGCGGGCATTCCAAAGGTCCAACCTTAGTCGACCAGTCGATAGAGGCAAAGAATTTTTTTTGCGGTTTGGAATCCGTACCTCCCCCTGAAGTTTCGTTGGCCAATTCAGCTTTGATTTTGAACTAGCCTACCATGAATAAACATATATTTCAATAGTTACTTTTTGTCGCGGCGCACAATGAACTTTGCCTCTTATCCTTTCGACCTCAAGGTTCATTATATTCGAAAACGCGAAGCCACAGGTCATAAAAACAATTGTATAAACACCCATTTTCTATTTTCAAATGGCCAAGCCCTCTATTTCGACCCACAGCAAACACAGATCTCAAAATGAACTGTTTAAATATCCAACGTCCGAGGGTGAAATGGAGGCCATATTTTAAATCCGACTATAAACTCTCTCAGAATTGATCATTTAGGTATAGAATAACTACTCCAAAAGAACGATGAAAATTGAGTGGAAAACACAACGTAATTCGATAAAATTTGATTTCTAAAGATAGAGCAGAACTTGTTCTCGAAATAATCAACAAGAACTGTCCAGATTTCCCTTGATTGATCTCCGGTATAAATAACTGCCTGAAGTTCGGGGAAAAATAATATTAGGGGGGAAAACTTGACCACCTCATGAGAGAAACATGACCCGACCCGCAGTGCCTGGCGCAAAAGACTGTTTAAATTAAAACTTGTAAAATACGAAAGAATCAATCCATTGCTTATTCAATTTTTGTAATATTACAGCCTGTCTCATGGGAAGAACTTGCGTCGGGGACAAGTTCGTTTGTGAGGACGTGGGAGGGAAGAAATATTGTTGTACACCACCAAAAGATACTGCTCCCACAACGCCGACAACGCCTACAACTCCGACTAAAACCAACGACGCCTACAACACCTACCACGCCTACAACACCTACCACGCCTACAACACCTACCACGCCTACAACACCTACCACGCCTACAACACCTACCACGCCTACAACACCTACCACGCCTACAACACCTACTACACCGACAACACCTGCTACTCCAACAACGCCTACGACTCCGACCACGCCAAAGGTTTGTCTGTAAGACTCAAAATCCGAAACTGTAACCGCGAGCTGCCACAACTTCGATACTTTTTTTGACGATTGAAAGGTAAAGGCCCCGCAAAAAGGTAATGTTTTTTCGCACAAATATCCCAAAAAATGTGTTTTCTTCTCAGCATGCTCTCCACGTTCCGGATGATCTCTGTGCTGCAAATTGAATATCTGGCTGCATCTGCAAAGCGTAAGCTAAAACTTTTATGTGGCCTATGGTCCACGTAAGTGCAAAATTAAAAAAAATCTGAGCATTACACTTGGGGACTTCCGTTGTTCGACCATCGTATTATTAAACTTTTAGTCGGCTTGTTTTTACATGTACGTCATCTTTTTCCACGTCTGCAAAAGCAACGCTACACAGATGACTAGTCTAATTTTCCAAACTCTCAGTCAGCAAATGTTGTTTTCCTTGTTGCTGAAACGTTTTTTCCAACGGAAAACAGCTAACCAAACATTGAAAGAATAAAAAATTCGGGTCTAAAACCCACGTTGACATGAATGACATTCTCAAATTTGTTAGGCTTGGAAGTTTGCAAACGATGAGGAATTTCTTCATATTTCTAATCGTTTTTTCGCAAATCACTGCGGTAAAATGTGGACTTGGAGACATGTTCAAGAAGAAGTGCCGGTCCGGCTCAATGGCGGTTGTGCGTAAGTGAGCAGGGAAAAATTGGGAAGGAACGTGCTGCTTGGTCTTTGGCAGACTTGTTGGTCAACCCAAACATGGTTGAAGGCCTGGTTGAGTAGTTTTGGCATACTTTGAAAAAGACCGGGACGTAGCACAAGTACCAACAGACTGGTACTCGCTCTCAGTGGCTTATTGGGCCCCTTCTGGCCCTCTAAGAGCTGGGAATCTGGAAAATAACCGGCCCAGGCGATTTTTTTGGGGCCGGGCTTGTGGCTTACGTCGCGACACTTGCGGGCAACCACTTTGCGGGCAACCAGTTTGCGGGCAAATTTTTTGCGGGGAGCCACTTTGCGGGCAAAATTGGGGAGGAAGGGGTTGTCACATTTGCGGGCAGCTGAAATATTTGCGAGCAGTATGGGACATTTGCGGGCAACCGACCCTTGCGGGCAGTCGAAATTTGCGGGCAACCGGCACCTGAGGGTAACAGGGTAGCGGTGGAAATATTACTGCGATATTTTGGAAACTTGCCGACATTTGCGGGCAGCCGACATTTGCGGGCAACAGGAAAAAAACAAGCACGCAGATTGTATTGGAACTTTTTGAACTGTTGCCCGCAAATGTCGGCTTCCCGCCAGTATTGCCTGCCCGCAAATGTCGGAAAACTTCCAAAATATCGCCGTAATTTTTCCATCTCCACCTTGTTATCCTCAAGTGCTGGTTGCCCGCAAATGTCGGCAAATTTCCAAAACATCATAGTAATTTTTCCACGTCCACCCTGTTACCCTCACAATCAAGTGTCGGTTGCCCGCAAGTGCCGGTGCTGGCCGCAAATGTCGGCTGCGAAAAAATTTGCCCGCAAACTGATTGCCCGCAAAGTGGTTGCCCGTAAGTGTCGCGACGCCAATCTGATAACCAAAAGTTTGGCGAAAGCAAGCTGAAAACGCTCGGACGCTGTTCACAAACCGAGGCGCAGCTTGGAAAATATCTTTCACAACTTTCCAGCTTTTCATCAGGGCCCTGAATGGGCCAAAACGACTTCGCCAGCCATTTCTAGGGACTGGTCGGGGAGGACCTCCTTAGGGCTTGGCCTGGCACAAAAAGACTGTTCATTTGCAAAACACGACCGACTCAACACATTTCTTTTTTAATTTTTGTAATATTGCAGCCTGTCTCATGGGAAAAACTTGCGTCGTAGACAAATACGTCTGTGAGGATGTGGGAGGGAAGAAATATTGTTGTACACCACCAAAAGATACTTCTCCAACGCCGACAACGCCAACAACTCCGACTACTCCTACAACGCCTACTACTCCAACGACTCCTACAACACCGACGACTCCCACTACTCCTACTATGCCCACAACTCCAACAACGCCTTCAACACCTACTACTCCGACAACGCCAACGACGCCCACTACACCCACGACTCCTACAACACCCACTACGCCAACGACTCCAACAACGCCTACGACTCCCACGACTCCCACAGGAGTTGGTAAGTTGATTTTTACTTATATGTTCGCTACGCAATACGGCAAAGATGGAAGCGTAGGAGTGACTGTCAATCTGTCGAGGAAGCAATGAGCACTCTGTCGCATCGAAAATCGCATCGCCAGCGAAAAAAATGAAAAGTGTCGCGACAACATCAAATTGCTGTTCACTGCGGCGACGCGGTCGGAGCGGCTCTGATAACCTTATTATTTTTACGACAGAATGATAAAAAAGCGACATGCACTTTCTGCGCGGCGACTCCGAAGTTCACGCACGACGTCAGCAGAAAAAAAAATGTCCGAGCTTTTTGAACGCTATTAGTATTACTGGCATCAATAAATAAATCCAAAAAACGTGGAATTAATCCACATGATCCCTGGACCCCTCAAAAATACTGCTTTCGAAACAAAGACCCATTTTTCAGCTCCCTGTGCGAATGGTGCTGTGGACAAGACGACTGACTGTCAAAGACCCGATGTGAAAGTGCTGTGCAACCGAAAAGAATACATTGAATTGATGAAAAAGGAGTGCCCACAGACTTGTGGGTTCTGCGGCTCAACGACCCCTTCACAAGACCAAGGCGGCGGCAGTGATAATGGAGGGAGTGACAGTGATAATGAAGGCGGCGGAGATGCCAGCTGCGTGGATAATGATACAAAGTAAGGATTTTTGATCGGCCGGTGCAGCTACTTTTGAATCGCACTTTTTGCGGGTTGGAGAACGAAATGTCCAACAATATTGTGCAAAAAATGACGGAGAAAAGTAATGGTAACGAGCAGACAGCTTTTTTATTTTTACCGGGCCGGGGCCTACCTGGGCCGGCTTTGCAAAGGCGTAGTCTGTTCACAAAGACGCTGAAGTGATTTCAACGACATGCATTGTGAGAAAACAAAAGTTTGCTTTGCACTGTGCAATTTCTTGATTTTTGGACCGTTCAATGGGCTATTTTGGGATGGCGCTCGCACCCTGAGTTTTTCTGCACAGTGTAAATGCTATGAACTACTCCAGCGACTTTACGAACGGACTCGTGGAGGTTTGAGAAGTCCCGGTAGCCATGTATTGCCCTGTCCCTGCTAATATTCGCACCTTTTTAGCTGCCCCACATTTGTGAAGAATGGATTCTGTGATCTGGGCTTTTATTCGGACGAAAAGAAGAAAGCAACTTGTGGAAAGTCATGCGGACTATGTTAGAAAGAAGGAACATCAAAACTGCGATCAATATGTAAAGTTAGGTCATCGATCTTACAACTTCATTCCAGATTTTAACAATAAACGGTCTATTTTGCATAAAAATGTTTAAAAAATTAGTTTAAATATACTTAAATATAAGACTACCAAAAAAAAGATTATGGTAATTTTTCAAATCGTATTTTACAGACTTCGAACTTCATCGGTTGCAGCAAAAATGTTCAAATTTGCTCAATCGTCCGGGAAACATCCGTCATCCGAGGGCTCGGCTGGAATATCCGGCTTGTGCGCGCACATTCCACACGTCTTTTTGCACTTGTCCTTCATCAATCGTTTGTAGACGGAATTGTTGCACAGCGGCATGATTTTCGGAAGCTTACAGCGAGCTTTTGCTTCGTCAAAACAGTCGTCTGGAAAATGGGAGGTTTAGCAATATGGCCAGTTTATGCGTAGCTTTTTATTCGATCTGAAGTCAAAAGCAATTTGATGATTCTTCTGCAAAAATAAAGAATCCCAAGCACGCCTTTTCTCGACGACGAAGCAACGTTCAATGCGACAGACTGCTCGTTGTTTTCCTGACAGACTTATATGTCCTCTATGCCCGAAAAATGCGTAAAATATAAAGAAAATCTGAGCGTAACATTACCATCCCCTCACTGTCATTTCATACAAAAACTGTTTTAATCCAATACCACAATTAATATGTACATCTTTCTCCTAATTATTGCATCCCACTCTCATCAGAATTTCTTTTTTTGGATTAAAAAGCTCCAAGGCCATATTATTTCAGTATGTCGGGAAAATAATGAGCACTCTGTTGCATCGTAAATCGCATCGCCGCCGAATTGCTTTTCACTTCTGCGACACCATTGGCGCAGCAACATTTGGTTATTATTTTCCCGACAGACTGATAATGTTATTTTTGTGTGAAGCCTTTCTTTTTGAGGATCTTTTTTTGATTAGCATAAAGCATGAATCCAACGTGAAACGAACAAACTTACCCTGTATAAAGCTGAAGATCTCCTTCGGACCGTAATCGAAAGCGAAATTCAGTCTTTTGATCTCAAACAGATGAGAAAACTCATGTTCAACAACAGTAACAGGAGTCGTCAGGGCGTTCTCGTAGTGGCTACCGTTACTGTAGTGGATAATGAACTTGGAGTTGCCCAAATAAGCAAGTTGAGGGAGAACAAGCAGATAAAAAATGGGCTTTGAGAGAGTCAGAGGTGTTTTAGCCATTATAACTAATGATTAAAGCTCTCGCTAATGGATATTTAACCTGTTCATTTTGAGATTTCTGTTTGCTATGGGTCGAAATCAAAGGCTTGGCCATTTGTAAATAGAAAATGGATGTTTATACAATTGTTTTTGTGGCCTATGGCTTCAATTTTTCGAATAAAATGAACTTTGAGGTCGAAAGGATAAGAGGCAACATGCACTGTCGACAAAAAGTCACTTTTGAAATAAGTCTATACACATGCTGGTAGGCTAACTCAAAATCTGAGCCAAATTGCCCAAAACTTCAGGGTTAGGTACGGCTTCGGAACGGCAAACATTCTTCTTTGGCCTCTATCGACCAGTTGATTAATTTTGGACCTTCGGAATGCCCGCTCGATTTGTTTTTGCCACACGCTCTTTCCAACGGTAGCATTCGTTTTTGTGTAGCGCTTGCCAAAGTCTAGAAAATCGGGAAATTGTGTAGGAACACTTTGTGACAAGAACACATATAGTTCTTGTGTCTAGTGTAAGAGAGTATGATCTATTCAAATCCAAGTCTTTTTTGAGAACATGGCCAAAATCATTTGCTCTGAAAAGGGCAATCGAAGTGGGCTCTTTTTTTGCACCCGCCGAATTTTTATCGCACGACACCTCGCACGGCAACCCGAAATAAATAGAACAAAAATATCTCTCGCCCACTTTTGAGTTTCGTCCAAACGAAGTGTCACAATTGAAAAAAGAAATAAAATAATTCAAGAAAAATATTTTTTGATCGAAAAACCCCACGAAAAATTCTGTTGTGACATTTCGTATGGATTCGATCGATACTAAATGTGCGAAGTGCCTAAACAAGGCGGGAGACTCCTTGGGTTGCCGTGCCTCTTCGCAACGTTCGAATTTATGCGGCCGCACGGTGCGAAAACATGTCACGACTTTTGACCCGCCTATTATCAGTCTGTCGGGAAAATAACGGCGGGTCGTCGCAGCAAAATGTTTCGACTCGTAGAAAAAGGGGTGCAGTCGCGCACCGAATCTTTGAGACAATTTCACCGTGTAACAATGTTCTGAAAAGGACCGTGTCGCGGTAAGAAAGCGAAATGCACAATGAAAAAGTCTGCAAACTTGATGAAAATGTTAGTAGTATTTGTGAAAAAAAGCCAAATTAAGCAGTCCCTTTCTATTGTTTTTTTTTGGTTTGACGTGAAAAACAGCTTCAGCAGAGGCGATGAACCCGACTGGGCTTGAGCTGGCCATGGAGAACATGAAGCCGAAGGTATAATAATATTTAAGGTGTTTCTCCATAATGTTTTAAAACGTCATCCGTTGCAAAAAAAATCAGATCGTCCCATCTGAGTCCTATGTTCATTGCAACTCCACGTCCTCAACGCTGAGGCTATCACCTAAAAATACCCGCATTTATGTCATATTCCAGTTGTTCCGTCCGGAAACCCGACATCTGTGCAAACACGACCTAAAACATAAAAAAGTTCTGTCGCAGATTGTAGCTCCCATTTAACGTCCTGCTTAACCCCCTCAAGCGGGCTTCATTTTTTCATTTGACACACAACCGCATGGCCAGATGATGTTCAAGTTTCCAATTTGGCTTCTGATTTCCCAAAACCTGCTGCTCTCCGCGAACGCGAGGTTTGTGCTGTACCGCGGGAATGGAAGCGTGTTCAACTCGCGCCACACGACGCCCATCATGTATTTGCCGCAAGAGGATGGGTTCGTGGAAGTGAAGCGACTCAACGTCAACTTTGGCCGACCGTTAATGGAGCTGCTTGCAGGTGGGGAGTTTATGAAACTTGGCACAATGTGGTGTTGGATCAAAGTAGACGGGGCGCTTGGACCACCGCTCTTCAGAGAATAGACTTAGACACAAGTTTAGAATAGAGTTTATTGAACCACCACGCACAAAGAAAGAAAATTAGATAATTCTATAATTGGTGACGAGACGTCGCTTTTATATGAGTTGGTTTATGCTAATTTGCTTGGGAATTGTGAAGGCTTTTGAGGCTCCACAACACACAAATTTAGATCAAGCCTTTCCAAGACATACGCTTTGTTTCTCTAACCATGAGTTCTTACGTCCTACTCTACTAGTCCCTCCGGAAAGTCGCCGGACGGAAGTCGGCGACATGCACTCTGCGAAAACGAAAGTTCACTTTGCACTGTGCAATTTCTTGCCTTTTGCACCGTGCAATAGGCTTTTTTGGGATGTCGCTCGCACCCTGACTTTTTTCGTACAGTGCAAACGCCAAAAATCCGTCCGGCGACTTTCCGGAAGGACTAGTATGTTGCACATCATCATACTTACTAAACCGCCCTAAGAATCCCATGATGATTTTAAGAGAGAATTTGCAGATACTTTTTAGTAAAATAGCAACATATTACTCTTTGAATAGCCTGGCTTACCCTTACTAGCGGCCGCCAAGATATTCAACGGTCGTGGTTTCGTGTGAGTACGCGCAATGAGGGGAGTGGGCCAGACAAAAAATTACGGCAGAGTGTGCGCTAGGAGTATTGGATGTATCTTAAAAATTCAATGAAAACAGAGCACTTAACCAACATATGAAACATGATTTTATTCATAAAAAAAGTTGCAGACTGAAAAATGCCGGAAAACTTGTGGATTCTGCAAGGGAGACGACACTCCCAACCCCAAAGAAATGCGCTAGAACTTGTGGAGATTGCACTACAACGATGGCTACAGCGATGGCTACGAGCCCGGAAACCTCTCCGACTATGCAAACTACGCAGACTACCGGGACACCCGACTTTTTGCGGATTATTACAACAATTTCGACGCCATCGACTCCCACGACAGAGACAACACCCTCAACGCCAACCTCAGCGTCTACTCCGAGTTCCCCAAGCTCCCCAACAACACCCACGACCCCGACGACGCCGTCAACGCCAACCTCAGAGTCTACTCCGACTTCTGAGAGCACTCCAACTTCTCCGACTACTCCTACGACTCCTACAACGCCCACAACACCGACTTCAGCATCTACTCCGACTTCTCCGACCTCTCCTACAACGCCAACTACGCCTACAACGCCAACTACGCCTACGACTCCAACCACATCGACTACTCCGACCACCCCAACGACCACCGATGAATGCCCACCGGATGACATGTAGAAAAACTCTAGTAGAGGTTGTCAATAAACGGTCAATTGTTCTTTCATATTAATCTGTCGGGAAATTAATGAACGCTCTATCGCATCGAAAATCGCATTGAAAATGAATTGTTTTTCACTTCAGATCGCACCGCCGCCGAGTAAATAAATTGCAATTATCAAATTCTTTTCTCTCCAGCGACGCACGTCAAGAAAAAATAAAAGAAAAACGGGCGCCCAATGAAAAAGCCTAGAATTTTTTTTGGCATTCTGCCCTGTGCAAATCCGTTTTTGTCCAAATGGTTTGCAATATTTTGACATAAAGATTAATAGTAAATCACAAGATATTGATACCAATAGAAAGCTTGAGAGCTGCTTAAGCTAATAGAACCAAAATATACCCATAATCGTAGTATTTTGACAGTCTTCGAAGGCGTAGAATACAACGTCTAAATAAAAGTTTGTATCGACGATACCGAGTCAGAGAGCACTGGAAGGAGGTATACGCTCCACGTCAAAAAAATCCCTAAACTGTTCTTCGAGTATCTACACCGGTCTCGTCCCGCTTGATGGGACAGTTTTTTTGATATTCGGCCTTGAAATTTGCACTATTTTTAGCCTAGCTCGAACCATGTTCAGAAAATGCGTCACGATGACACCCATTTAGAATGTACCAGCGGTATAAAAAACAGTTGTATACTACTTGTAGTACTCCCTAGAGTTCCCATAAAAAAAATTAGGTTAAAAATTGTTGTTATGTGCAATTTGGATGACAGGTTTTATGAATTTTTTTTCGCTGTGAGAACCTTTGCAATGCCCGAAATTTCTTGACGTGCGACGCGATCGGCCAAGATTTTTACGTCAAAGGTTGAAAAAACATGGCGTTTTTTTGACGCATGAAAAGTTTCAAGCTCGTTACTATCGTGGGGTGTAACTTCTCCACAAAAAAAGGTAAAGCTCAGATCGTGTTTTTCTCTCCGCATTGCGTGTGCTCTTTCGACTGCAAAGATCGTTGAATATCTCGGCCGTACTTGAAAGGCGCGAGCTAAAACTTTCATGATTTGATATGTAGCCTATGCCTGACGTGTGCGCAAAATTGAAAAAAAGTGAGCGTCGCACGCAGGCTAACTCTTCCTTCTAGTAGAGATGGGAATCGGGCCGGCCTGGGGCTTTTTTAAATCAGCGCAGGCCCGGCCCGATTGTCACCTCTACCTTCTAGGACATATGCGAGAAGACTAGCAAACAGGGTAAAAAAGGCAATGCCAAGTGCACTGTATGTTCCCAATAAAAGACGTAAAAAGTCATAAGTTTACACACATAATGAACGAACACAAGTACGTCTTCAACGTTGAGGTCATTGCGTATCATCTAAAAATACCCGGATTTATGTGATATGCGATGTGTTCGGTCCATTCGGTCCGTAAACCCGACAACTGAGCAAACACGACCCAAAACATATAAAAGTTCTGTCGCAGCGTGTAGCTCTCATCTAACGTCCTGTTCAACCGCCTCGAGCAGGCCGCAGTTTTTACAAATTTGTGTCTTAAACCCGACTTGACATGAATGACATTCTCAAATCTGTAAGGTTTGGAAGTTAGCAAACGATGAGGAATTTTTTGATATTTCTAATCGTATTTTCGCAAATCACTGCGGTAAAATGTGGATGGGGGGACATGTTCAAGAAGAAGTGCCGGTCCGGCTCAATGGCGGTCGTGCGTAAGTGAGCAGGGGGAAATTGGGAAGGAACGTGCTCAATCCATTGCTTATTCAATTTTTGTAATATTACAGCCTGTCTCATGGGATCTTGCGTCGGGGACAAGTTCGTTTGTGAGGATGTGGGAGGGAAGAAATATTGTTGTACACCACCAAAAGATGCTGCTCCCACCACGCCGACAACGCCTACAACTCCGACTACACCAACAACGCCTACAACACCTACCACGCCTACAACAATTACTACACTGACAACACCTGATACTCCAACGACGCCCACTACTCCAACAACGCCGACGACTCCGACCACGCCAACCACACCTACAACGCCGACTACTTCTCAAGACCAAGACGGCGACAATGATACGACTCCCACCACGCCCACTACACCCACGACTCCCGCCGCAGCTAGTAAGTTTATTTTTACTGATTTGTTTGCGGCGTTTTGCGCTGACCACCGCAATACAGCTTGAAAAGGTAGGGCTTTGGTAGTGCCGATAATTTCGCGACATTTCGTCTTTCTTTTGAATCAATGAAAACGGTACGAAGTTTCGAAACGGTTCAGGAAATGCGCTGGATCGTGTATAGTCCCTCTGCGTCAAAAATACCTCCTTCGAAAAAAACGACCCATTTTTCAGCCCCATGTGCGAATGGTGCAGTGGATAAGACGACCGACTGTCAAAGACCTGATGTGCAGGTGCTGTGCAACCGAAAAGAGTACATTAAAATATTGAAAGAGGAGTGTCCACAGACTTGTGGGTTGTGCGACTCAACGACCCCTTCTCAAGACCAAGACGGCGACAATGATACGACTCCCACCACGCCCACTACACCCACGACTCCCGCCGCAGCTAGTACGTTTATTTTTACTGATTTGTTTGCGGCGTTTTGCGCTGACCACCGCAATACAGCGTAAAAAGGTAGGGCTTTGGTAGTTCAGCCCCCCACGAAATGTAGTTCAAACCCCCATTGTTTTGCCCATTTCACACCCCCCATAATGAAAAAATTAGAATAATTCAAAAAATGCAAATTAGAGTAAAATGACCCCCGGCGTTTGCATCATGCATTTGTCTTTATTTTTTTGCATTGTCGCGGCAATTTTTCGTTTCTACACAAGCGACATGCGTGTTTACCCGCGGCAAAAGGATTGTCCGAACTTTTCAACGCAAGCAGCTCTACTGGCATGAACTACAGTATTGATCAATAATAAACACGTGGAATTAATCCACACGATCCCTGGACCCCTCAAAAACACCCCTTCAAAAACAACGACCCATTTTTCAGCCGCATGTGCGAATAGTGCTGTAGATAAGACGACCGAGTGTCAAAGACCCGATGTGAAGGTGCTGTGCAACCGAAAAAAGTACATTAAAATATTGAAAGAGGAGTGTCCACAGACTTGTGGGTTGTGCGACTCAACGACCCCTTCTCAAGACCAAGACGGCGACAATGATAATGGAGGAGGTGACAGCGATAATGAAGGTGGCGGAGATGCCAGCTGCGTGGATAATAATCCAGAGTAAGCATTTTTTTGATGGCCAAGGCAGCTACTTTTGAATCGCACTTTTTGCGGGTTGGAGAACGAAATGTTAAGAAAAAAATTATTGTTTGCTGTACAAAAAACGATGGAGAAAAGCAATGGTGACGAGCAGACAGATTTTATGTTTTTTCCAGACCTTGTGTTTTTTTGCACAGTATATCGCATTTTTTAAATAACGCAGCAATGGAGATCGTATTTTACAAAAAAAAATCATTCCTAACCCGTTCGCGAAGACGCCAAAAACAGCTTCAGCGGCTTTACGAACGGACTACAGTGACGGTTCTGATTTAGTGAAAAAACGTCCCATTTTGCATCCGGGACGCATCGAAAACAGTAGCAAAATACCACCCTCTCCGACTAAAGAAACTCCGTTTTCAAGCGCGCTTCCTTTCCCTCACAAAAATAGTGGGCGACTTTTGAAATCAAAGTTTTTCACGTGGAGAGAGTGGTGTTTTGCTACATTTTTTAATATTTCCCGGATGCAAAATGGTACGTTTTTTGCCACTGGATCAGGCCCGCCACTGTAGTAGGGACTCGGGGAGTCTCAGTCGCCATGTTTCACTATCTCCTTACTAAAATCCGCAACGTTTTAGCTGCCCCATATTTGTGGAGAATGGATTCTGTAATCCGGGCTTATATTCGGATGAGACGAAGAAAGCGACTTGTGGAAAGTCATGTGGACTATGTTAGTGTGAAGGAACACCAAAATTGCGATCAATGGGAAACGAGACAGTGAAAGAAATAACACTCTGTTATTGGTTTTACAACTTCATTCCAGGTTTTGACTATAAACGGCCTAATTTTGCATAAAAATGTTTTAAAAAATTAGTGGAAATTATATAAACGTGGTCATAGAAGTTCTTGGATTCCGTCCTCGCCGATGAGGCGTAAACCACTGCAAGAATCGATGTGCAATGATTTGGAAAACCCAGTGCAGGGTTAATTTCGGGTCGGAAATGATTTTTAAAATTCAGTGCATTTTTTAAAGTCAGTAATGATTTTTCAAATTCTGTGCATTTTTTATAAGTCAGTAATGATTTTCGAAATTCAGTGCTGACTTAGGCCCGGAGCTCCGCCCCCTTTTTCTGGAGCCAATCAGGTAACAGGTCTCAAAATGAACGCAAAAGGCGTTAGAAAAACGCCGTTTTTTCACGGATTTCACTCCGTGCTCCGTTGTAGCCACTAATGAGGCTTATGAAGCACCTTTATACTTTCAAATAAAACAGAATCCAGATTTTTTTTGACAACTTCCATCCTCGGAAGAAGAATTATGAAACTGGAAGCAAGATAATTTCTATGATGTTTTTTACTGGAATCATGACCATTTGTTAGTGTAAGAAAATAAACCGGTATCCTATAGAAAGTTTATATTCGAAACATGATACAAGACAACGTTTTACTGTTTCCATCATTCTTTCTCTTCATCAAACACATCGTCTTCCAGTGGGGCTGAATCGTTGACCGTTGGCGATGTCCCGACGTTGATGGACGATCGGTTTTCAATGGCTCGAGTCGCAATGTCGGAAGCCAACCGGGTAGGGGCTAAAAATAGTAAAGTAATTTCTCATACAATACTTACCACAAATTCGGGAGCCAAAAATTCATCTTCGATGAAAAAACGATCTCCTTTAACATGGGGGCATTCCATCGCGGACCATCATTGAGACGTTGTCCAAACTGAATCCAACGTGAAATCAAACTTCTCCCAATGCAGCATGTTGTTTTTGCTCTTCGTCTTGAACAGCGAAATCCGTTGGTGTCTGGACCAGTTGCCAGGTTCTTTGAGGACCAAACTGAAGCGAATTTGAACGTTGAGTTGGGTTTCAGCGACGAAGAAGCCAGCCCCGAACATCCGATGGTACCCGTACGTCAGCTGCCCCTTCCACCAGTCGTTCCGTTTAATATTATTTAGAAGATCTCTATTAATTGTAAGTAGGATTCAATTCTAGTAGAACTTTTAGTGTAATTGCTTCTTTTCATAGCGTTACGTTATTTATTATTTGTTATTAGGAACTCGTTATTATATTTTTGAAATCCTTTTTTAATTATTTTTGTTTAAAAGGATAAAACTATTTATTTACCATGTTGAATATCTGAAAAAAACGACTAATTGAACCTCAAAATTGAATGGTGGAAGCCTTGGTTAAAGAAGGCGGAGACAATTTTCTAGAGCTGCATCGTGATTGGATGCAGAAAAGGGGGCGAAGCTTCTGTAAACTCAGCACTGAATTTTGAAAATCAGTGTCGACTTATTAAAAATGCACTGAATTTGAAGAATCATTACTGACCTATTAAAAATGCACTGAATTTAGAAAATCATTACTGACTTATTAAAAATGCACTGAATTCTGAAAATCAGTTCAGGGCTATTAAGTCCGCACTGATTTTTCTCAGATTCGCAAGTTTATTGACACGAGGGGCTTCGGTAGTTCAAACCCCCCACTGTTTTGCCCGTTTCACACCCCCCATAATGAAAAAATTAGAATAATACAAAAAATGCAAATTAGAGTAAAATGACCCCCGGCGTTTTAGCTCAAAGCCCCAGTTACCCAAATTAGATTTTCAGGCAACGATGATCGTAGCCGAGAGAACCCAATTTTTCGGGGCTTCGGTAGCCCCCATGAAAGGTAGTTCAAACCCCCCACTGTTTTGCCCGTTTCACACCCCACATAATGAACAAATTAGAATAATACAAAAAATGTAAGTGGGGGTTTGATCTACTATGTTGGGGGTTTGACCTAAAACGTAGGGGGCTTTTTCTAAAACGGAGAGGGCTTGATCTAAAACGTAAGGGGCTTGATCTAACAGCAAATTTTTTCTGATTTTTTGAGATATGTCCCGTCAAAAAGTAGGAGCCCCCATAAAAGTACTTTCCTTGTAAAACGTAGGGGGGGGGGCTTCTTCTAAAACGTAGGGGGCTTGTGTCGGACCATACAACTTGGATTAATTCTTTGAAATAAATTTTGGGGTTCAGAATGGACGAGGGGGTTGTACTGGGTTATGGGGGGCTAAACTGGACTGGGGGGCTGTACTACCTTAGCCCCACACTGGATTTTCCAAATTGCTGCACATCGACTTTTGCAGTGGTTTACGCATCATCGGCGAAGATCGAATCCAAGAACTTCTGTGATCACGTTTATATCGTTATATTGCAAAGCGCATTTTACAGACTTCAAACTTAATTGTTTGCAGCATACTTATGTTTTAATGTCTAAATTCGTCCGGGTAACATCCGTCATCGGGCTGTTGTGGAAAATCCGTGTCCGGGCACATTCCACAGGTCTTTCTGCACTTGTCTTTCATCAATCGTTTGTAGACTTTGTTGTGACAGAGCCGCATGTATCTCGGAAGCTTACAGCGCAAATTTGCATCGTCAACACAGTCGTCTGAAAAATGGGAGGTTTAGCAATATGGCCAGTTTATGCGTAGCTTTTTATTCGATCTGAAGTCAAAAGCAATTTGATGATTCTTCTGCAAAAATAAAGAATCCGAAGCATGCCTTTTCTCGACGACGAAGCAACTTTCAATGCGACAGATTGCTCATTATTTTCCTGACGGACTGATATGTCCCCTATGCCCGAAAAATGCGTAAAATATAAAGAAAATCTGAGCGTACAGTGAGGGACCGGATCCAGTGGCAAAAAACGTCTCCAAAACCTTCCCTTCTCTAAGCTAAAAAACTCTGCTTTGAAAAGCCCGCACCGCCTTGAAGGAAAGGGAGCGTGGGACGTTTTTTGTCACTGGATCCGGTCCCTCACTGTAACATTACCATCCCCTCACTCTCATTTTAATACAAAAACTGTTTTAATCCAATGCCACAATTAATATGCACATCTTTCTCCTAATTAACGTATTTTACGTCCCGAAGGCGCTCGTTAAATTCCCGAAAGAGGAAGGCTCAAAAAGCGAAGGAAGAGAGCGTGGTGAGATGGCCGAGCGGTCTAAGGCGCTGGTTTAAGGCACCAGTCTCTTCGGAGGCGTGGGTTCGAATCCCACTCTCATCAGAAGTTCTTTTTTTTTTAATTAAAGAGCTCCAGGCCATATTATCAGTCTGTCGGGAAAGTAACGGCGGATCGTCGCGCCTCGGAATCGCCCATCATCGCTTTGCGACTGCAAGCCGCGACTTGGGATTTGGTGCGCGATAGCGACGAGACGAGACATTTTGCTGCGACGATCCGCCGTTATTTTCCCGACAGACTGATATCAGTCCGTCGGGAAAATAATGATCACTCTGCTGCACCGTAAATCGCATCGGCGCCGAGAAGATGAATTGTGTCGCGGCAAAATCAAGTTGAATTTCGCCTCAGCGACACCATTGGCGCAGCAACATTTGGTCATTATTTTCCCGACAGACTGATAATATTATTTTTGTGTGAAGCCTTTCTTTTTGAGGATTTTTTTTGATTAGCGTAAAGCATGAATCCAGCGTGAAACGGACAGACTTACCCTCTATAAAGCTGAAGATCTCCTTCGGACCGTGATCGAACGAAAAATTCAGTCTTTTGATCTCAAACAGATGAGAAAACTCATGTTCAATAACAGTAACAGGAGTCGTCAGGGCGTTCTCGTAGTCGTCACCCTCACCCTCACTGTAGTGGATAATAAAATTGGAGTTGCCCAAATAAGCAAGTTGAGTGAGAACAAACAGATAAAAAATGGGCTTTGCGAGAGCCAGAGGTGTATTAGCCATTATAACTAATGATTAAAGCTCTCGTTTATGGATATTTAAGCAGTTCATTTTGAGATCTGTGTTTGCTGTGTGTCGAAATAGAGGGCTTGGCCATTTGAAAATAGTAAATGGATGTTTATACAATTGTTTTTATGACCTATGGCTTCGCGTTTTCGAATATAATGAACCTTGAGGTCGAAAAGATAAGAGGCAAAGTTCATTGTGCGCCGCGACAAAAAGTAACTGTTGAAATATATGTTTATTCATGGTAGGCTAATTCAAAATCAAAGCTGAATTGGCCAACGAAACTTCAAGGGGAGATACGGGTTCCAAACGAGAAAAAAATTTCTTTGGCCTCTATCGACTGGTCGACTAAGGTTGGACCTTTGGAATGCCCGCTCGAGTTGGCTTTCTCACAAAGTTCAAATTTGCGTAGCGCGTGCCAAAGTCTAGAAATCGAGAAATTGTGTGGGGACACTTTGTGACAAGAACACACATAGTTCTTGTGTCTAATGCAAGAGAATATGATCTACCCAAATTCAAGTCTTACAATTGTTATTTGAGCACATGGCCATGATGGTTGGATTGGCCGCGCGCAGCACAAAATCATTTGTTTTAAAAAGGGCACTCCAATGCGTAGTGGGCTCTTTTTTCCACCGAATTTTTATTGCGCGGCACACGTCAAACTGAGACAAGCTAAAACAGTCCGGTGAATGGATTGGCAATTTGCCAAAAAAAGACGGGAAAAAACGTTTTGTCGGGGGAGAAATGGGGAATTTTTGGGGCAAGAGAGTACGTTTTTGCGTGTCTTTTTTCTCTCTTTCTCTGCGAAATCAAGACGAAGTGTAAAAAACCGATACCGAAGAGTCACCGGACTCCTCAGCTTGATGTGCGACACCCCGTCGAAACGCCGAATTCATGCGCCCGCACGGTGCGAAACCATGTCAAGACTCTTTGACTTGCCTGCTTGTTGTTCCAGAAAGTACGTGTAATTTTTTTTTTCGGTCTTTCTTCGGACGCACAGTGCATGTTGGCGACGCGACCCTTTTAGAAAAATTTTGCACTATGTATTCTTTTTGTGCGCCCAAGAGTCACCCCGGCTCCGTTGAGAAAAATTTGCGTCGCAGCAATAATGCAGACGGTGCAAGGGGACAAATGCACGTTGTTGTGCACGGTGCGGACCACGACTAAAGGTCTACGCACTTTCTGGACGATTAGTAGTATTTAATTTAAACAGTCCCTCTCTATTGGTTTTTGCATTTGACGCAAAACTCCAGCTTGAGCAGAGGCAATGGATCCGACTATACAGGCTTGGGAAATATTTAAAGCCCAGGGTAATATCTAAAATGTTCCTCAATAATTTTTTAAGCATCCTTTGATTTTTTTGTCATCCTTTGAAAAAAAATCAGATCAACCCATCCAAGTTCTGTGCTCATTGTTCATTGCAATTCCACGTCTTGTTCGCAATAAAAGACGTAAAAAGGCATAGGTTTACGCACATAATGACCGAACACAAGTACGTCTTCAACGCTGAGGTCATTGCGTATCATCTAAAAATACCCGGATTTATGTCATATGCGATGTGTTCGGTCCGTAAACCCGACAACTGAGCAAACACGACCCAAAACATATAAATATTCTGTCGCAGCTAGACTTGGCTCTCGGGCCGGCCCGGGCCGAAAATCACGGCCCGGCCCGCGGGCCGGAAGAGGTCGGCCCGGCCCGTTTCAATTTTTCTTCGGCCCGAAAATTGAGAAGAAGTGAAAAACCTTAATTCGCTATTAGATGTGACATATTTTTCTTTACTATAACGACTAACAGTACATTTTTGAAGCAAAAAATTACTTGCCAACACATTGCCTTTTTAAAATTAATCAAAAAATTCCCGGGATCCGTTTTCAGACTGTCAAAAATTGCCCCAAGATCAATTTTACAGATTCGGCAAAGGTGGAATCACGTTTAACAAGGTTTTCAACTTCAATATGATAGCGTTGCTTCACACAACTTCTTAATTGTGTTTTTAAGGATGTCGGTTACGTTTATTTTGAGTTTTTGTTCAAAAAATTACTGCAAACACTAATCTACATTAGTACTTAATAGATTTTACTAGTAAAATTACTTATTATTAGCTATTTTTGAGTACTTCCGTGCTTTATTTTTATAAAATTACTAGGCGTTCCAGAAAGTGCGTGCACCTTTCGTCGCAAATTTTCCGCACTGTGCATTTGACCTTTTGCACAGTGCAATTCAAAAATCGCAGCGACATAAGCTTTTTTCACTCTGTCGCCGCGCATTTTGGGGCGCGACGACAATTGCACAGTGCAAAAAGAAGAAAAATGCACTGTGCGCCGCGAAAAAAAGTGCACTCACTTTCTGGAACGACTAGTATACTTACTGTATGAAAAATATAGACCCCATTCTTGGCTTTGCGTTTTAATTTTATTGGCGACCCAACTTTTCGCTTTAAAATTCAGAATCTTAATTTTGCCGGGCCGGCCCGGGCCGAAAGTTGCGGCCCGGCCCGCGGGCCGGAACAGGTCGGCCCGGCCCGGCCCGTTTCAATTTTGCTTTGGCCCGGCCCGGCAGCCAAGTCTAGTCGCAGCCTGTAGCTCTCATTTAACGTCCTGTTTAACCGCCTCGAGCAAGCCGCAGTTTTTATATTTGACATACAACCGCATGGACAGATGATGTTCAAGTTTCCGATTTGGCTTCTGATTTCCCAAAACCTGCTGCTCTCCGCGAACGCGGGGTTTGTGCTGTACCGCGGGAATGGAAGTGGACTCAACTGGCGCCGCACGACGCCCATCGTATATTTGCCGCAAGGGGATGGGTTCGTGGAAGTGAGCGACTCAACGTCAACTTTGGCCGACCGTTAATGAAGCTGCTTGCAGGTGGGGAGTTTATGAAAGTTGGCACAATGTTATGTTGGACCAAAGTAGACGGGGCGCTTGGACCACGCTCTTCAAAGACACAAGTTTAGAATTGAGTTTATTGAACCACCACACACAAAGAAAGAAAATTAGATAATTCTATAATCCGTGACGAGACGTTGCTTTTATATGAGTTGGTTTATGCTAATTTGCTTGGGAATTGTGGAGGCCTTTGAGACATACATATGCGAGATAACTAGGCAAAGCGCGAGCTAAACTTTAGCTTTTGCCTTCTGGCAACAGCCGAAATATTCAGCCATTTGCCAATTTTTCATAAAAATTCGAACGTCACACTATCCCTGTTAACATCATTCCATTCATACGCAAAGATTGCAGACTGTCGCGACGACCCCTATTCCAACTGCGATGCCGGCAACATCATGCCCATGTGTAATAATGCCGTCTACAAAAATATAATGCGACGAAAATGCCGGAAAACTTGTGGATTCTGCAAGGGAGACGACGCTCCCAAGACCACAGGGACAACCGACTTTTTGCGGATCATTACAACAATTTCAACGCCTTCAGCGCCAAGCTCAGAGCCTACTCCGACTTCTGAGAGCACCCCAACTTCGCCGACTACTCCTACAACGCCCACTACGCCCACAACTCCCACAACGCCAACTACGCCCACAACTCCTACAACGCCAACTACGCCCACAACTCCTACAACGCCCACTACGCCCACAACTCCTACAACGCCAACTACGCCTACGACTCCAACCACATCGACTACTCCGACCACCCCAACGACCACCGATGAATGCCCACCGGATGACATGTAGAAAACCTTTAGTAGAGGTTGTCAATAAACGGTCAATTGTTCTTTCATATTAATCTGTCGGGAAATTAATGAACGCTCTATCGCATCGAAAATCGCATTGAAAATGAGTTGTTTTTCACTTCGGATCGCATCGCCGCCGAGTAAATAAATTGCAAGTATCAAATTCTTTTTTCTCCAGCGACGCGATCAGCCAAGATTTTTACGTCAAAGGTTGAAAAAACGTTTTTTGACGCATGAGAAGTTTCAAGCTCGTTACTGCCGTGGGGTGTAACTTCTCCACAAAAAAGGTAAAGCTCAGATTGTGTTTTTCTCTGTTCTCTCTGTCGGCAGCAAGGATCGTTGAATATCTCGGCCGTATTTGAAAGGCGCGAGCTAAAACTTTCATGACTTGATATGTAGCCTATGCCTGACGTGTGCTCAAAATTCAAAGAAAATATGAGCGTCGCTCGTAGGCTAATTCTTCCTTCAACTAAAGATGGCAATCGGGCCCGCCTGGGGCTTTGTCAAATCAGCTCAGGCCCGGCCAAGTGTTCGCAATGTATGTTCGCAATAAAAGACGTAAAAAGGCATAGGTTTACGCACATAATGAACGAAAAAAAGTATGTCTTCAACATTGAGGTAATTGCGTATCGTCTAAAAATACCCGGATTTATGTCATATGCGATGTGTTCGGTCCGTGAACCCGACATCTGTGCAAACACGACCCACAACATTAAAACGTATTGTCGTAGTGCATAAGTTCCATTTAACGTCCTGTGTAACCGCCTTAAGCGGACTTCATTCTTTCATTTGACACACAACCGCATGAATGTGTTCAAGTTTTCAATTTGGCTTCTGATCTCCCAAAACCTGCTGCTCTCCGCGTATGCGAGGTTTGTGCTGTACAGCGGGAATGGAAGTGAGTTCAACTCGCGCCACACGACGCCCATCATGTATTTGCCGCAAGAGGATGGGTTCGTGGAGATGAAGCGACTCACCGTCAACTTTGGCCGACCGTTAATGGAGCTGCTTGCAGGTGGGGAGTTTATGAAACCTGGCACAATGTGGTGTTGGATCAAAGTAGACGTGGCGCTTGGACACACCGCTCTTCAGAGAAAAGACACAAGTTTAGAATAGAGTTTATTGAACCACCACACACAAAGAAAGAAAATGAGATAATTCTATAATTGGCGACAAGACGTTGCTTTTATATGAGTTGGTTTATGCTAATTGGCTTGGGAATTGTGGGGGCCTTTGAGGATCCACAACACACAAATTTAGATCAAGCCTTTCCAAGACATACGCTTTGTTTCTCTAACCATGAGTTCTTACGTCCTACTATACGTTGCACATCATCATACTTACTAAACCGCCCTAACAATCCCATGATGATTTTAAGAGAGAATTTGCAGATACTTTTTCGTCAAATAGCAACATATTACTCCTTGAATAGCCTGGCTTACCCTTACTAGCGGCAGTCAAGATATTCAACGGCCGTGGTTTCGTGTGAGTACGCGCAATGAGGGGAGTGGGCCAGACAAAAAATTACGGCAGAGTGTGCGCTAGGAGTATTGGATGTATCTTAAAAATTCAATGAAAACAGAGCACTTAAAACACGATTTTTGAGTCAGGGCACCAGCGGTGGTCTTAGGAAAAAATCGATTTTGAGATTTTTGGCTTAAAATAGTCGGTAGCACTTGTGGAAGAAAAGCTAAAAATATTTTTGCCCAATTTTGCCCGGAAGGCATATTTTTTTACAAAATACGTTTTTACACTTCAAAGCCTCTGGAGGCCGATGTGATCCGACCACAGAGATCAAACCTGGCATACAGGGGTTTTTGACACCCAGGAATCTGAAAATCGTAGCATTTTTACCGTCAGATTACTGTAACATGGTCATACTGTAATCCGGTCGATAAAAATCGACGATAACTTCTTTAGATCAAAAATACCACAGGATTTTATTGCAGATTCGGAATCAGCATAAAATTCTGCTTCGGATACATGTAAAATATGTTCAAAATTCCGTGGCCCAACCTCTGTAGTATAGTGGTTGTGCGCCAGGATTATCAATCTGGCGACCCAGGTTCGATTCCCGGTGGCTGCAAATGGCAGAAAATAGACTATAAAAGGGCGGAAACTTGGAAAAAAGGGAAAATAAATTACAGAAAATTAATTTTATGCTACTTAGGAGCAGTTTAAAAGTTTTTGCAAGAATTCCGCATAAATTACGGTTTTTATGGAAAACGCCTTATAGCTTGCCGGAAAGTGGAGCAATCTGGTTAAAATTTACAGAAGAGGTTACTGAGGCTTCCTACTACAAAATAAGTTCATTTCTGCTTATTTCGTTAAATTTTTGGGATAGCCTGGATTTTCTTTCAAATTCGGGATTTTAAGAAGGCGAGCTGCGGCCGAGGTTTATCGAACGGAACAATATTTGACCAAAAAGTCATATAAGATTCACAAAAAGTCATATAAGATTCCCTAACAGCACCGGGATCACACAGCTTGCAAAACTTAGGCCGTCTTGCGTATCCCACGAAAAACGAAGCGCGTGGACGCTCTAATGATAAATCTACATGAAGACTCAGTTGATAAGGAACAGAGGCTAAATTACGGGACTGTAACATGCGTGCTTCCTTCTGAAAACCAAATAATTGTTTTATTTTGTTTTGTATTACATTCCTCGACGGATTTGAAGAATATTGCATAGCAAGCGTTATCTAGATTCACCACAACTCTTTAGTTGCCATTTGGGGCGATCTTACGAATGCTGTGAGGCGTTTTCCATAAAAACCGTAATTTATGCGGAATTCTTGCAAAAACTTTTAAACTGCTACTAAGTAGCATAAATTTAATTTTCTGTAATTTATTTTCCCTTTTTTCCAAGTTTCCGCCCTTTTATAGTCCATTTTCTGCCATTTGCAGCCACCGGGAATCGAACCTGGGTCGCCAGATTGATAATCCTGGCGCACAACCACTATACTACAGAGGTTGGGCCACCGAATTTTGAACATATTTTACATGTATCCGAAGCAGAATTTTATGCTGATTCCGAATCTGCAATAAAATCCTGTGGCATTTTTGATCTAAAGAAGTTATCGTCGATTTTTATCGACCGGTTTATAGTATGACCATGTTACAGTAATCTGACGGTAAAAATGCTACGATTTGCAGATTCCTGGGTGTCAAAAACCCCTGTATGCCAGGTTTGATCTCTGTGGTCGGATCACATCGGCCTCCAGAGGCTTTGAAGTGTAAAAACGTATTTTGTAAAAAAATATGCCTTCCGGGCAAAATTGGGCAAAAATATTTTTAGCTTTTCTTCCACAAGTGCTACCGACTATTTTAAGCCAAAAATCTCAAAATCGATTTTTTACTAAGACCGGGCCCCACTACTGGCTGACGCAGTGACTCAAAAATCGTGTTTTAACCAACATAGGAGACATGATTTTATTCATAAAAAAAGTTGCAGACTGTCGCGACGATCCCTATTCCAACTGCGATGCCGGCCACATCATGCCCATGTGTAATAGGGCCGTCTACAAAAATATAATGCGACGAAAATGCCGGAAAACTTGTGGATTCTGCAAGGGAGACGACACTCCCAACCCCAATCCCATCCCACCCAAGGAAAGTTGCGCCGACGACAAGACGACCGACTGTCAGAAGCCGGGCGTCCGAATACTCTGCAACAATTCGGCGTATCGCCGTTTGATGGCGAAGAAATGCGCTAGAACTTGTGGGGATTGCACTACAACGATGGCTACAAGCCCAGCAACCTCTCCGACGACACAAACTACAGGGACAACCACAACTACGGCTACAAGCCCGCAAACCTCTCCGACGACGCAGACTACAGGGACAACCGACTTTTTGCGGATCATTACAACAATTTCAACGCCTTCGACTCCCACGACCCCGACGACGCCGTCAACGCCGACTACGCCTACAACACCGACGACTCCAACTACACAGACTACAGGGACAACCGACTTTTTGCGGATCATTACAACAATTTCAACGCCTTCAGCGCCAAGCTCAGAGTCTACTGCGACTTCTCCGACCTCTCCTACAACTCCGACGACTCCCACAACGCCAACTACGCCTACGACTCCAACCACATCGACTACTCCGACCACCCCAACGACCACCGATGAATGCCCACCGGATGACATGTAGAAAAACTTCGGTAGTGGTTGTCAATAAACGGTCAATTGTTCTTTCATATTAATCTGTCGGGAAATTCATGAACGCTCTATCGCATCGAAAATCGAATTGAAAATGAATTGTTTTTCTCTTCAGATCGCATCGCCGCCGAGTGAATAAATTGCAAATATCAAATTCTTTTTTCTCCAGTGACGCAATTGACCAAGATTTTTACGTCAAAGGTTGAAAAAACATGGCGTTTTTTGACGCATGAAAAGTTTCAAGCTCGTTACTACCGTAGGGTTAACTTCTCCACAAAAAAGGTAAAGCTCAGATTGTGTTTTTCTCTGTTCTCTCTGTCGGCTGCAAGGATCGTTGAATATCTCGGCCGTACCTGAAAGGCGCGAGCTAAAACTTTCATGACTTGATATGTAGCCTATGCCTGACGTGTGCTCAAAATTCAAAGGAAATATGAGCGTCGCCCGTAGGCTAGTTCTTCCTGCAAGTAGAGACGGCAACCGGGCCGGCCTGGGGCTTTGTCAAATCAGCTCAGGCCCGGCCAAGTGTTCGCAATGTGTGTTCGCAATAAAAGACGTAAAAAGGCATAGGTTTACGCACATAATGAACGAACACAAGTACGTCTTCAACGTTGAGGTAATTGCGTATCGTCTAAAAATACCCGGATTTATGTCATATGCGATGTGTTCGGTCCGTCAACCCGACATCTGTGCAAACACGACCCACAACATTAAAACGTATTGTCGTAGCGCATAAGTCCCATTTAACGTCCTGTGTAACCGCCTCAAGCGGACTTCATTTTTTCATTTGATACATGACCAGATGATCTTCAAGTTTCCAATTTGGCTTCTGATTTCCCAAAACTTCCTGCTCTCCGCGTATGCGAGGTTTGTGCTGTACCGCGGGAATGGAAGTGAGTTCAACTCGCACCACACGACGCCCATCATGTATTTGCCGCAAGAGGATGGGTTCGTGGAGATGAAGCGACTCACCGTCAACTTTGGCCGACCGTTATTGGAGCTGCTTGCAGGTGGGGAGTTTATGAAACTTAGCACAATGTGGTGTTGGATTAAAGTAGACGGGGCGCTTGGACCACCGCTCTTCATAGAATAGACTTAGACACAAGTTTAGAATAGAGTTTGTTGAACCACCACGCACAAAGAAAGAAAATTAGGGGCTAAGGTAGTACAGCCCCCCCCCCAGTCCAGTTTAGCCCCCATGACCCAGTACAAACCCTCGTCCATTCTGAACCCCAAAATTTATTTCAAAAAATTAATCCAAGTTGTATGGTCCAGCACAAGCCCCTTACGTTTTAGATGAAGCCCCCCTACGTTTTAGGTCAAGCCCCCCTGCGTTTTAGGTCAAGCCCTCTACGTTTTAGGTCAAACCCCCAACGTAGTAGTAGGGCAAAACAGTGGTGTGTGAAACTACCTTTCGTGGGGGGCTGAACTACCGAAGCCCCGAAAATTAGATAATTCTATAATTGGTGACGAGACGTTGCTTTTATATGAGTTGGTTTATGCTAATTTGCTTGGGAATTGTGGAGGCCTTTGAGGCTCCACAACACACAAACTTAGATCAAGCCTTTCCAAGACATATGCTCTGTTTCTCTAATCTTGAGCTCTCAGGTGGGAGATCTTTTTGGCGGAGTGGTGGACCGGGGAGTAGCTGACAAAAAAATTCTGGAGGTGGAGAGGTCGGCCTTACCATAACTCTTTTCTAATAACTAGGCAAAACGCGAGCTAAACTTTAGCCTTTGTCTTCTGGCAGCAGCCGAAATATTCAGCCTTTTGCCAATTTTTCATAAAAATTCGAACGTCACATTACCCCTGTTAACATCATTCCATTCATACACAAAGATTGCAGACTGTCGCGACGATCCCTATTCCAACTGCGATGCCGACCACATCATGCCCATGTGTAATAAGGCCGTCTACAATAATATAATGCGAAGAAAATGCCGGAAAACTTGTGGATTCTGCGAGGGAGACGACACTCCCAACCCCAATCCCGTTCCATCCACGGAAAGTTGCGCCGACGACAAGACCACCGACTGTCAGAAGCCGAGCGTCCGTATTCTGTGCAACGATCGAGCGTATCGTCGGTTGATGGCGAAGAAGTGCGCCAGAACTTGTGGAGACTGCACTACAACTACGGCTACCTCTCCGACGACGCAGACTACAGGGACAACCGACTTTTTGCGGATCATTACAACAATTTCAACGCCAAGCTCAGGGTCGTCAGGAACAACTGCGACTGCTGCGTCGACCCCGACGACCAGCGACGAATGCCCTCCGGATGATCCGTAGAGAAACATTTGTAGAGGTTGTCAATAAACGGTCAATTGTTCTTTTATATTACTATGTAAATATATCCTATATCAGCCTGTTGGGAGAACAATCAACACTCCGTCGCATCGACAATCGCATTGCTGCAAAAAAAATGAATTGTGTCGCACATCAGATACAAACGGAATGCCAAGGATTTTTGGCATTTATTTTTTAAAATTTTTTTTATGGACCTCGGGAAAATTGATAGTTTACAAGGTATGATCGCGGCATTCTTCCAAACTATGAACCAAATTAAAGAAAGGACAGCTACCTATCTTTAAAAATTAATTGCGGGTTTGGCGACCTCATGGGAACCCTGCAAAAACGCTGCTAAATTTGGAATTTTTGAAAACACTGATTCGAATTTTGCCAAGACGCAACTTATATCAAAGAATCTGATTTGGAGGAGTTATCAATAATGTTATTTTCTTTCTATACGACAAGTTTCGGCAGAATTGGTCTGGAAGTTTTGGAAATGATGGCGAAATACATCAAACTGGGTATATCTAAAAAAATGTTCGATTTAGCAGCGGTGAAGGCTGCTCACTGGATGTAAATATTCATTGTAGGGTATCTCACTGTCTAAAACCTTCCTTCAGACCCAAAAATACCAAATTAAATGACATTTTGCCATCAATTTAGCATGGATAACATACGTCTTCACATGTTCATATTCGTGTTTGCTGCATCGGTAATCTATGTTTTGAAAACGTAATAACGTCCCTTCGTTGTCTACGTATTTCTTTTTAGATGGGGAAGGATCTCCACCATATGTTTTCAAAATTTTACCATGTACAACATGATTAAAATAAGATTCAAAAAAGGACTAGCAGTTGGGCTAATACCTCGTTTGGACTTGTAAATGTGTCCCCTTTGCATAAAAATTAGAACGACGTTGCCGCGTTGCCAAAGAGTCGGCCGGCGACATAGCCTCCTAAGATGGTCTCACTGTCATGGATAATACGGAATTGATACAGACATGCAAAGTGAGGATCATACGGATTATTTCTTTGACCCATCGACGTGTTTAGTTAGTAACATAGTTTTTAATTCTTTTTTCGAAGTCTATCATCTGTTTTTTGGTACAAATTTCGATATTATACATGATCTATACAACAACCTAGTTCCTCAATTTTTGAACTTTTTAGGGTAAAAACGGATGTTTTGAAACTAATTCGATCTTATACTCCCCGTACAATGTTTTGACCCCCCTCCTAACTCCGTCCAAAGTGTACTAATTCGGACCAAATTTGGTATGTAGTATACTCACAGGCTAGTAACAAAAAATAACATAGCAAGACATACCTTATAGTTGAATTTCAAAATCTAGAGGCAATTTTCAAAAATCACCTTAAAAAATCGAGGAAAAAGTTTTGACCCCCCTTAAAAAAAAGTTAGATATCGCCAGCGGATGCCCCCCGAACCTATCGTAATCGACGTCCCATACCTGAATACAGGTTAATAAATGGTTTTCCGTTGAATACTTCGTTGCATTTGAGGATTCAACGCGTTAAACCGTTTTTGATGTAGAGCTGCCTAAAATGGTAAAAATCTTGCCCTAGCACTTTCCAAGAGCTCTAAATTGGGTTTATATTATGTGATTTAGACCTGTATTTATCTTCTCCTTCCGATAAAAGTGCATGGTGGCCTGGCGGTGTAGATTCGGCAGATACCCTCTTGTCATGCCCGGCTTGGGCGACCCATTAGCTCTTTGACCGAAGGGTTAGATATGGTCGTTAGGTTCTCAATGTAATCCTGAGACTCCTATTTACCCTCAAACAAAGAATAAACTCCCGCTGACACGGTTTCATATGATTTGCAGGCGTAACTTCGCCGATCTACACCTTAACGAAAAACCCGCGTTTTTCAAATGGATTTTTAGCCGCCAAAAACGGCTTTCATTTGATGAACCAGGTAATATAAGACGCTACAGCACCCGCCATACTCAGTGGAGACGTATGAAACGCCAAATGTGCGGTGGGGATGTCATCGTACTCGGAGGCATCTACAGTAACGGGAGACTCAAGATTAAGGTAAATGAAAACCATTACAAAACGTGTCAAATCGAAACATTTTACATTACTGAGAGCAAATAGGAGTGTCAGAATTACATTGAGGACCTAACGAACACATCTCGACCTTGAGTCAAAGAGCAAATGGCTCACCAAGGCTCGGCATGACATGAGGGTATCTGCCGAATCTACACCGCCAGGCCACCATGCACTTTTATTGAAAGGAGAAGGTAAATACAGGTCTAAAGCACATAATATAAACCCAATTTAGAGCTCTAGGAAAGCGATAGGGCAAGATTTTTACAATTTTAGGCAGCTCTACATCAAAAACGGTTTAACGCGTTGAATCCTCAAATGCAACGAAGTATTCAACGGAAAACCATTTATTAACCTGTATTCAGGTATGGGACGTCGATTACGATAGGTTCGGGTGGCATCCGCTGGCGATATCTAACTTTTTTTTAAGGGGGGTCAAAACTTTTTCCTCGATTTTTAAGGTGATTTTTGAAAATTGCCTCTAGATTTTGAAATTCAACTATAAGGTATGTCTTGCTATGTTATTTTTTGTTACTAGCCTGTGAGTAGACTACATACCAAATTTGGTCCCAATTGGTACACTTTGGGCCGAGTTAGGAGGGGGGTCAAAACATTGTACGGGGAGTATATAATAAATCTCCCTTTTCGTAAGAATGATTTGTAGCTTTAAAACCTTAAAAAATTTCATGGTGAATATTGTCATGTATAACATGCTGACTTTATGGTACACTGTGAATACCAACTTTTTCACCCAGTAATTGATAGATTAGGTGTAAAAGAGGATGATTGGTGAAGAAAACCCGTAATTTTTACAATCGCAATTGTTTTCAGTTCCAAAAACCCCTGTTTTAATCCTAAATTTTCAAATCGCATCAACTTTTTTTTGAATAGACGAATTTTGATAATATTTTGGATATTTCCTATATGGACCAATGCTAATAGAACCCCCAAATTAGATTCCTCAATTTAAGTAAAAAAATTTTGTATCTGATGTGTGTCGCGGCCAAAGCACGTTTCTTTTCACTTCAGCGACGCGATCGGCGCAGCGACATTGCGCTCATTGTTTTCCCTCGAGGCTGATAAATACGGCTCTCGGAATTTTATAAATTTTAGGTCGGCCCGGTTAGGAGGCGATTCGGTTGGGCGGCTGAGATCGGCGCAGTGACGCTGCGCTCATTTTTTTCCCGACGGACTGGAACTCTTAGCTCGCGCCTTGCAGAAACGCCCAAGAATAATAAGTTTACAGCCGATTTCTATCGCAGAATGTAATGTCTCCACAAAAAATCAACCTTTCTCTAGCGAAACTAGTAAAAATATGACCATTTGTTGCACTTCAGGCCTTTTGACGTTATCAGTCTCTTGATGAGAGCTGTGTCGCTGAGCCAGCCACATCGCTGAAGTGCAAAGCAATCTGATTTTGCAGCGGCACAGTTCGTTTTCTCGGCGGCGATGCGACCCTTGATGCGACAGAGGACTCACTATTTTCCCGACAGAATTTGAATTCTTTGCCCTTCAATCTTTAACCTTAATTCGTCTCTGTTCCACTTTTTCAAGTCGTAAAATCCTTGGACTTCAGGTCAAATGTCACCACCAGGTTCGACCGTCGTTCTAAATCAAAACTTTTCGATCCGTTCCCGGCCGTTCCACGAAAAAAATGACTTCAAAAAGAACGCCCGAACCACTCGTCCTTCCCCCATGAAGTTGATTCACGGCACCGGAGTGTGTCCCATAAAAAATCGGCGAAAAAAACCAACTCAACATTTCCCTCTGTTCCTCCCACTGAAAGCGATTCAACTCAGCTGCCCTCAGGGTTTACCGGGGCCTGTTTTTATGTTTTTTTGGGCCCCAAAAATATCACATCAGTTGTTGTTTTTTCGCAAGACCAAAGTGTTTTGGCGAACGGCGTTGGGCTACAATTTAGTGGTCAATTTTATAGGAAATAACTGGTCTTGGAGGAGTTGTTGATGACAACAGAGACGTGAGGGAGGATTAGTCAGCGCCTATGTTGTTGAGATAACGAGCATATGGGTGGGGTTTATGGGAATTTGGGACGGTATAAATAAAGTTTACAAGGCAAGGGCCAAGTGCTATTAGGCTTTTTCGAAAGTGCTTATTAGTTTGTCGGGAAAATAATGAGCACAATGCTGGTGCCCCATTCGTGTCGCTGAAGTGAAAAGCAATTTGATTTTGTCGCGACAAAATTCATTTTCCCGGCGGCGATACGATTTTCAATGCGACAGTGTGCTCATTATTTTCCCGACAGACTGATAAACTTTTTGCCGTGGTGCACAGTGCATTTTGCCTGTTTTTGTTCTTGTAAAATTGGTTTAGAAAGTTGCAGAGCCTCATTTGAAAATGGGTTTCATCGCAGCAAAATGTCTAGTTGCGCTGACACACCGAATCTTCAGCCGCGGTTAGCCATGGTAAAGCGGTGATGGGCGATTCCGAAGCGTAAAGAACCCACATTATTTTTCCGACAGACTGATACTGTTGGCAATCAGTCGATTTTCGGACCCAAAAGTTTTCAGTCTGCCGGGAAAATAATGGGCACAATGTCGCTGATCGCATCGCTGAAGTGAAAAGCAATTTGATTTTGTCAGGAGATAACTCATGTTCTCGTCGGCGATGCGATTTTTAATGCGACAGTGAGTTCATTATTTTCCCGACAGGCTGATAAACCATTGACAAATTCTTGTTTTGCACAGGGCGCGTTGCCCTACGGGCTATCAGTCTGTCGGGAAAATAGTGAGCACTTTTCCAAATCGCATCGCCGCGGAGAAAATGAATTGTGTTGCGGCAAAATCAAATTTCTTTTCACTTCAGCGGCGTGATCGGTGCAGCAAAATTGTGCTCATTATTTTCCCGACAGACTGATACGAATTTCAGATGTTTCGTAGACTTTTCGGACCCTTTTCTTAAAAAGCGGCACATTTGTTTCCGATCCATCGTTCACGTAAAATTGCTTTTCGTATTTTTTCCACCGCCTCTCTCTAGCCTTTCCCACCCCCATAAACTTAGGACTTATGACAAGAAGAGAAATTTAAAATTGGAATTGTCTGAAATCTCGTTCGTCGCCATAAATCATCATCGATAATCTCTGACAAGACTTTTTTATTATCGCTTTTCAGGGCTTTCTTCTCCACAAGTGTCACACTTTCACCTGACCCATTCCACTGACGTGAAAACACGTTGTTTCGAAGGGCCCGAAAAGATAAACATTTGGCCAATTTTGTTTTATTTATTGTCGAATACATGTCAACGAGTTGGCCATGGGAGTAGTGGAGGATCTTCAGGAGATATGTGAGTTTTTTGGAGGAATAAAAGCGATTATGAGGCACCTGCGATAACAAAATACCTTTTGAAAAAATTGGCTATAAATCTGTCGGGAAAATAATGAGCGTTTTGTCGCATAAGAAAATCGCATCGCCGAAAAAATGATTTGTGTCGCGGCAAAATCAAATTGCTCACTTCAGCGACACAATCGACTCAGCGACACTGCGCACATTATTTTCCCGACAGACTGATATAATCTTCAAAACTAAATGCATTTTAGTGAATTACCGGTCGATAAAACTGCATCCCGAACAAGAGTTTCAAATAGACTTTGCCGTCTTTGACCATTTGCCCGGATGGTTGTTCAGATATGCCGATATCGACGTGGCGGCCAATTTGTGGGACGTTTACCGAAAATGGAAGAACGCTGAGGAACGGGACAAGGATGTCTCGATCTCCGCTGGAGTCTTTAGTCAGCATGATGGGCTGGCCAAGTAAGTTTGGGCCGTTTACAGGCATGGCTAGAGGGCCGGGATTTTGGGATTTCCGGGCATCCGGTTCAGTCCCCGTCAAATTCGGCCTGGCCCTGAGGATTTCTAGACCTGGTCCTTTCACAGATTTTTTGGATTTTGAATGGAAATTTTCCCGCCATTTTGGCAATTTTTGGCATTGTGTTTTTTTGGCTCTTTTAGGGTGTTTTATCGCTGCCAAGAACATTTCAAACAGCAAAAAAAATTTTTCGATCTCTTTAGCCAAAAATACATCTTGTTGCATAATTCCAATGAGCCAAAATTGGCATTCCTAATTTTTGCTTCAATGCGAAAAAACCCTAAAAATTTTGTCGAGTCGACTCCAGAAAAGCTCGGCCGGCCCTTTTCGAGGCTTCGAAGCCGGCTCCTGCCATGTCTGCACTTTTCATGTGTAATACTGCCATAAAACCTATCATCACGCTGTATTTTCAGGAAGCTTCTGATGATCAACCTCCTTCATACCGTTGAAAATGCCCAAAAATCGACCGGCTTTTGCCGAATACTCCTTTCGGAGCTTCAAAAAGTTCGTCAACACCATTTTCAAGACGCTAGAGACAAGTCAGTGTCGACGTCTTCTTTTGCCCTCGAGCGATTCTTGGCTTTTAATACTCTAATGAAGCTATTTGCCACAAGCAATGTAGATATTTGGGATATAGGTATTGCTCGCCTCGGACAGAGCATTTTGCGAGTTCTGGACGATATTTGGAGCGGATTGGGCTCGCAATTACTGGATATTGAACATGATGGTGAAATTTACATTCCGACAAAAATTCAGCAGATCTATGGGTAGGTAATGAACAATTATTGGCAATCTTTGCAAAACGACCATGATATTCCGTATTTTACAAGCTTAAAAAAATGTCTACACTTATTCGCTCCCGTCTATCTGACTCGAAATTTTACGAATTTTTTTCGAAAAAAAATCCAAAAAACCTCAAAAAGTATCCAAGTTAAAAAGCTCTTAGATTTTAATGAAAATTGTGGTAGATTAAGATTAGAATTTTTTAGGGCATATCCGAAAGGCATATCCGAAACTTTTAGCTTATAGTTCGTTGAACTCACGGCGATTTTTAGGTTGAAAATGTCGCCAAAACGCGCCAATCCCGCACTGTGCAAACTCTCAGGAGTTTTCGCCCCTGATACTAATAAACTTTTTTCAAAATTTTTTTCAAAATGACTTTCTTAATCCGTATTTTACACGCCGATAATTTCTAGAACATTCCTTGCACATTTCCAAGCCATTCTCCAAGCCATGGTCGAAGATTATGATGACATTCTTGATTGCTCTCAATGTCTTTCCCAGTCGCATTGCGAATTCCACGACAAAACTATGAAACGGTTTCCGAGATTACCGCTACTCGTCAAGGATATGATCATGTAAGTGATAACCGCTCTTCAGTTTTCGCATACTCTCTCAACGGTCATTGAATATCTCGGCTGTCCTTAAAAAAAATTAGCTAAAGCATATAAAATAATACTTTTTTTCAGCGAAAAACTAGATGGATCGGATCTAGCCAGCCTTAGGGCATGCTCACAGCAAGCGCTATATTTGATTGATACCAATTTCCGGTCGAAATTCATTGACCATTCCGTCTATCAACGGGCCGTCCATTTTGTCGATAGTCAGGTAAGAAGGGGTAATGTATCAAAATATTTGTGAACTCAGCGTTGCAATTTTTGTGTTTTTCAGAGGTTGATGAGCTTATTTAACAACTACAAACACGATTTTGCCCGAAATCTGAGGCCTTTTGCATTTTTTGGGAAGTTGACGAAATGTCACAAAAGTTATTGATTTTTTCGACATTAAATTTTATGGTAATTTTTCTCTGCTACAATCGTATTTTACTACAGCTATGTTACCGCCAAATTCCAAAAAATGAGTTTTTCAAGCGCATTTTTGATTCGACGAAATGTCACAAAAAATATTGATTTTTTGGAAATTGCAGATTTTATCTGGAAAAGTCTCCTCTCAAAATAAAATCAACCTTTATAATATTTGTTTTGTAACCAAATTGATAAAAATAAGTTTCCAAGAGCATTTTGGGTTTGACGAAATGTCACAAAAATTATTGATTTTTCCGAAAAACCTACATTTCAAAAAAAAAATGAAAAGATAAGTAGTGTGTTTAATTTTGCTCCAAAAACTATTTAAATCGTTCTTATGCTCGATTTCTTACTATTTATATAATATTTCCAGACCGTCGAATGGCGGAACGAATACCCTTCCCGCCATACCAAAGATGAATATTCCCAGCTCTCCGCATCGACCTTTTCTCGGATCTCCCACTTGTATCCAGTCCATTCCCTCCGCGGGCTCCCGAAATCCCTTCCGCAGCTGGAATTTTGCCTGAGTTCGCGGCTGGAGCAAATCGATGTTAACTTGCATTCCATGCAGGACTTCCGAGAGGCCATTTTGAATCTGTTCGTGAATTCGGAGTTCTTCATCTTTGTGCAGAGGATCGTCGTGCATGCTGATGACTTCATTTTCGACGAGGAAATGCCCACTCCGCCCGGGTTTGAGGTGCAATGCGCAAAGCCGTTTTTGATGATTTACCAGCGAAATGGCCGCCAGACATTCGAAATGATGTTTTGAAATAAAGTTTTGGTGGTTTGGGAGATGTTAACAACCATTCTTAGCAATTTTTAAAAAAAACTTGGGAAAAACGTCAAAAGTCATCAAGGATACTTTTTGATACTTTTTGTCTGGAAGGCTTTATTGAGACACAAAAACGCATGTAATCGACCAGGGACCTCAAAAAAGGCAAAAAATTATAAAAAGTGATCAAAAAGTTTCATGGATACTTTTTGATACTTTTCGTTTGGACGGCTTTATTCAGTAACAAAAAAACACATGTAATTGCTCGGGGACATCGAAAACAACGAAAAAATCACAAGCGGTCAAAAAGTATCATGGATACCTTTTGATACTTTTTGATCACATTTGATCCTTTTCACCGGCACTTTCTTTCAATATGTTTAAATCGTCAAAAAATCATCAAAATATTTTACTTCATTAAAAAAATCGTGTATTTTGGGCAAAAATACATACTATCATATACATAATAAATACATAGTAAACATATGTATACCCAAATTAATTTTCAAATAAACCTAATCGCTATAATCTTGATCATCACATCTCTTGATGTTTCCTTCCTCTTCTTCCTCTTCATCTTTCTCGTCTCCTTTTTTCTCATCATCTCTCTCCTCTTCCTTCATTTTCTCCGCTTCTTCATCGGGAATGGGTTTACTGTACAATTCATTCATCATCGTGGAGCAAGTAGCGCCCGCTGCCATCAAACGAAGCGAGGGCAAAATTGAAGGCATTGTGAAGTGATAGAAGCCGGCTCCACGATCCGAGTATTGGGAATAGTACTGTAAAGAAAGTTAAATACGTTAAATATTATAAAAAAATAAATAAAATCGTAGCGCCCACATAAAAAAATTACTTACCGGATGACTTTTCAGTTTCACCGAGCCAAACCGAGTTCCTGAGAAGGTCTGAGCCGTAAATTTGGGATCTCTCTGGGCTATGAAAAATTCATCGACCCAGACCGTCTTTTGCTTGACGTAATCGTAACGAGGCGCCTTTCGAAGCTGAAGATCCATGTAATACACGTCGTTCTCGGGATCATCCTCACCCACTACAATCAAAAAGTCAGTTTAGACAGTAATTTTGTCCGATTACACCAAAATTTAACGGGATTTTTAAACTCCGCGGGCTTTTCGAAAAATCTTGGCATTCTGTTGCAAGTCTATCTTGGGTTAAATAAATACCATAAGACCAATTTTTCTACTTATTGGAGCAATATAAGCCAGTTTAATCAAAAAATTAACGAATTTTCGAATTCCGCGGGCTTTTCAAAAAATCTTGGCATTCTGTTGCAAGTCGATCTAGGAGCAAACTAATCCCATAAGGCCAATCTATCTGTCTGTTGGAGGAATGCTGGTCAATTTAACCCAGAAAAGTTTTTACTTTTCAAATTCCGCGGGCTTTTCGAAAAATCTTGGCATTCTGTTGCAAATAAAAAAAATTGTTCAAAACAGTCAAGAAAGAATTTTAACGGCTCTCAAAAATATTTTTAGCCATTTTTCAACCCCTATAAAGTTGAAAACCCTATTAAAACCCACATTTCGGCCGATACGGCGGCATATTGGAGGTCCGGGAGCGAGCATCGTCGTCGGTGACGGTCCCAATGTCAATAAAATCATCAGGAATCTCTGGAAACCCTCGACCACACTGCTGAATCTCCCGCTTCAACTTTTCACAGCTCAACGTAGAGTGCTCAGAAATTTGTTCCACTTCTCCTTTGGTGAAAGTGATGTCGGATAACACTAAAACGGTGGCATAAAAGTTGTAAAATACGCTTCAGAAAAGATGTAAAGCTATAAAAAATTAGCCCAGATGCTTGGTAACTTCTGTTTGAAGCAAAAACTCCTACAAAAAATATTTTGCCTTATTTTTGAAATTTTTGGCATTCTGTTGCAAGTCTAAAAATCGGCCAAAACCAATGTTTTTCAACAATGAAAAATGTAATAACGGCGGAATAGAGGCCACTAAAGCAAAATACAGTTGCAAAAAATCAAAGAAAACACCAGCTGAATTTTTTTGAAAAATTTTGGCATTCCGTTGCAAGTCCAGAAAATCAAGCAAAAAATGAAATTTTTGGCAAAAATATCGGAATTGTGGTAAAATACGGCGCTTATAGCTCACATTTCCTGTGACCGTGCATGATTTTGACAAAAAAAAATTTTTGTGACTTTTTGGCATTCTGTTGCAAGTAAAAATTTCTTTAAAAAAATTAAGTAAAAACCCCCAAAATTGGATAAAAATACTTTCTAAAGTCAAGTTTCCACCAAAAATCGGCCACTCACAGCTTTGAGTGTCATCTTCCGAGGGTTGCTCGCCAAATGAGTTCTCTCTGGTGTCTCCATTATTGTCCTCATCTTTTCGCGGGTAAATCTGAAAACCCAGCATTCCTTCGTCGTTCTCGTTGGGTCCAAACAGCGCATATACCGTGCCCTCCACGCACCGAATCACCATGTTGGCGGGGAATTTGCGGAGGACTTCCGCCACATTCAAACAATACTCGTTGCAGGCCTGAAAGAGAAAACTTTGGGGAAAAAATGTGGGATAAAATAAAAAAAGTTAAAAAAAATTTTTTTTTGCAAAAAAATCAAAATTTCAGAAAAAATTTTTTTGATTTTTTTGAAAAATTTAATTTTTTTTCAATTTTTTTTTCAAAGAATTTCCTTCAAAAAATCGCTTAAAAATTTGTTGCAGTTTAAAACGGATACTTGAATAAAAAAAATAAAAAAAAATTTCAATAATTTATGAAAAATTTTTAATAACTTCCTCCAAAAAATCACTCCAAAACCCCTAAAAATAAATTTAAAAATGGATTTTCAAAAAAATACCATTTTTTTAAATTTCAAATTTCAAAAAAAAATTTTTCAAAATTTCCACAAATTTCCCCCAAAAAATCACTCCAAAACCTCCCAAATCCCACCTCAATGATCATGGTATCAGTCATGAACTCCTGTTTGTATTCATCATACACAGAGACCGCCACTTCATACGCGAATCCTTTCAAATTCTCAAAGTCCGATTTCTCGCCCACAAAATGCTTGAACTTCCCTTCGCCATAATGCAAGTTGCTGGTGCGGTAGGGCCCCTGCCTTGAGGGGTTTCGACTGATTTCCGAGAAAATGTGCGTCTCCTTGGAGGGATCGTCGGAAATCGGAACAACTTGACGGAGTTGGTCCAGAAGGCGGTTGGAAAAACCTTGGGCGAACATCTCAACGCGGCTGAAAATGAGATTCTTTGAGAAAAAATCAAAAATAAATCACGTTTTTGAACTGTTAAAAGTTAATCCGAAGGGAAAAAAACATCTACGTAGCTAAAAAAGCCTTGCCAATTGAATTTTTTATTTTTTCCCCAAAAAGTATCCAAAAGTATCCACGATACTTTTTGATACTTTTTCAAAACAAAAATTATAAAAATTGTCTGCGGCAGTCACATACATAATTTAGGCCTTTTTTAACCATAAAGCTTACGTTTTCAACCAAAATTTATAAAGATACGGGCCAAAAATCTATTACATTTTTTTAACTTTTATAATCAATAAAAAGTTTAAAAAACACCAGCGTTGCTAAACAGGCCTCAGAAATTCGATTTTTTGATATTTTTTAACAAAAAGTTTCTAAAAGTATCAAAAAGTATCCACGATACCTTTTGATACTTTCTGGCAGAAAGTTGTCTGCGGTTGTCACAAATGAAATTTAGACCTTTTTTAACCATAAAGCTAGCGGTTTCAATCAAAATTTGCAAGAATACAGCAGAAAAATCCATTTTTACTCTTTCCATCCCACCCAAAAAGTTCGTTGAATACCTTTGCCACCTTTGCATAGTAAAAGCTAAAATTTTCAAATATCATAAAGTGAGATACAAGCATCATCTCCCCAAAATTTCAAAAAAATCGACTAGTCGAGCTTTGAGAAATCAAGTTCCAAATTCAAATACCCCTCCAAAAATTCTCTCTCACTTACTATCTCGGAATCCGCCTGCACAAAAACCGGGTCAAGAAGTTGGTGATCTCCAACACGGACAAATGCAATGGAGGGAGCTCATACCGACTTAACGTTAGGCCCATATCCGGCGCATTGACTTCACTTCCACAGATGCTCATCGTTTCGGCAGCGCACAACTGACTTGGATGGGAAGAGGAATGGAAAATGATGGGAAAATTTGAAAATGCTTTTTTTGAAAATAATGTTTTGGGAAAATTTGAATAATTTGAACAAATTTTTGGGCATTTATTTTATTTTATTTTCTTTGAAAATTTCAATGAATTTTGAGCAAAATTTAGAAAAAAATGAAATCAGAACGATTTTTTTTATCAGTCTGCCGGGAAAATAATGAGCTCAATGTTGCTGCGCTGACAGTAGAGGGCGTACTTGACCATAGATTCTGGATGGTCGATTAGTCGGGTAAGTTATCAGTCTGTCGGAAAAATAATGAGGATTCTGTCGCGGACACATTTGCGTCGCTAAATCGAAGAGCGCAATTTGACTCTGCCGCGACGCAATTCATTTTCTCTGCGGCGATGCGATTTTTGCTGCGGCATTGTTCGTTATTTTCCCGACAGACTGATAAATCTTTTTCTTTCAATTTTCTCGGCTTTCAAAATTTTCGGATTATAAATTTTTAACAGCTCGATTTTTGAGCGATTTACATTACTAGTCCGTTCGCAAAGTTAATGGAGTGATTTTACAAAGGAAGTACTCCAAGTGCGACGGCCAGATTTTGATGAAACTTGGCACAAATTTAGAATAATTTTTTTTAAGATATATGCGAGAATCCTAGCTCGCGCTTTGCCGAAACAACCGAGATTTTTAGATCGAAAATCGGCCAAAATTTAGGACTTTTCGCCGATTTCGGCACGAAAAGTTTCATGCCGATTTCAACCGTAAAGGATAATGTTTCTACAAAAAATCAAATTTTTCCGCACGAAACTGCAAAAGTTATGGCCAAAAAGCGGGTTTCTCTCTGACCGCTCTCCACGTTTAGCGTGCTCTCTCGGCGGCAAAAACCGTTCAATATCTCGGCGGCTCCCGCAAAGCGCGAGCTAAGACTTTCAGGAATTGATATTTAGTCCTACCCGACGTGTGTGCAAAATTTATATAAAATCTGAGCGTCGCACTTGGAGTACTTCCCCTGTTAGCGATATGCGCTGTGCGAAAACAAAAGTTTGCTTTGCACTGTGCAATTTCTTGCTTTTTGCACCGTGCAGTAGGTTTTTTTGGGCTGACGCTCGCACCTGATTTTTTTGCACAGCGCTAACGCCAAAAATGCCTCCAGCGACTTTGCCGATCGGCTATTCTCCGTCTGTCGGGAAAATAATGTGGATTTGCAATATACCTCATTGCACAGTGAATGTCCCAAAAATCACTTTCAGCAACTTTACAAACATACTAGTATGCTTCAAATCACACATATCCACCTTTAAAAATTTTTACTGACAGTTTTTTTTTTATGAATTTACTCCATTTTCCCAACCAAAACTTCATTTCCGTTTATCGCTCCACATTACGAACACTTTCCTTTTCCTTTCCGTCCGTGGTTGACACTCCGTTTCAACGGCGTTATAATTATTTCATTAAGTCGGGAAACTTTTTCTGAGAAGGGGGAAATTAGTCATAGTAAATCCCCTTTTTACCGTGTTAATCTGGATGTTCCTCGCTGCAGGAACCAGGAAGATCGGAAAAATTACCGCAGAAGCGGGGAGGGAGTGCGTAAAAAGTCGGTCTTGATGATTTTTCGGTTGAGTGGGGGAGGTGGGGGGAGACATTTTATACGATGATTTGAAGGGGTGGGATTTTTTGAGATTTTTTGGTAAAAAAAATTGAAAAATTATGATGAAAAGAAATTTTATAAGGCTTATCCCATCTTAGAAGCTTGTTTTTACTAAACCGCCTGAGGCAAATGCCACCTAAATAGAGGAAATTTTGCAGAAATTGAGGTTTACAGGAGCTAGAAAAGCGACACTCAGATTTTGATGAAACTTGGCACAAATTTAGAATATTTTTTTCTAAAATATATGAGGGAATCCTAGCTCGCGATTTGCAGAAATAACCGAGATTTTTAGATCAAAAGTCAGCAAAAAATTGACACTTTTTTGACAAATTTTGGCACGAAAAGTTTCATGCCTATTTCTACCATAGAGGGTAATGTCTCCACAAAAAATCGATTTTTTCCGCACGAAACTAGCAAAGTTATGGCCAAAAAGTGTTTCGCTCTCTGACCGCTCTCCAAGTTTGCTTTTTCGGCGGCTAAGATCGTTCAATATCTCGGCGGCGCTTGTAAAGCGCAAGCTAAAACTTTTAGGAACTGATACTAGGCGGGCCAAAAAGTCTTGACATGTTTTCGCACCGTGCGGGCGCATGAATTCGGCGTTGCGACGAGGTGTCGCGCAATAAAAATTTGGCGGGGTGCGAATGAAAAACGCACTGTGTGTTGTTTACCCTTTTTCAAAACAATCTTTTTGCACTGTGCGGTGTCGCATTGCACCGTAAATTTTTCTTGTCGCCGCGCGACAAATCTCATGCACGATGGCGCACTGTGCAGACATGTCAAGACTTTTTGGCCCGCCTAGTACTTACAGGGGAAGTACTTCAAGTGTGACGCTCAGATTTTCTTTAAATTTTGCACACACATCGGGTATGGACTAAATATCAATTCCTGAAAGTTTTAGCTCGCGCTTTGCGGGCGCCGCCGAGATATTGAACGATTTTTGCCGCCGAGAGAGCACGCTCAACGTGGAGAGCGGTCAGAGAGAAAACCGCTTTTTGGCCATAACTTTGGCAGTTTCGTGCGGAAAAATTTGATTTTTTGTAGAAACATTATTCTTTACGGTTGAAATAGGCATGAAACTTTTCGTGCCGAAATTCGGCAAAAAGTCCCAAATTTTCGCCGACTTTCGATCTAAAAATCTCGGTTGTTTCTGCAAAGCGCGAGCTAGGATTCCCGCATATATCTTAGAAAAAATTATTCTAAATTTGTGCCAATTTTCATCAAAATCTGAGCGTCACACTTCAAGTACTTCCCTTGTTAGTATGTGCCCGACGTGTGTGCAAAATTTAAAGAAAAATCTGAGCGTCCCACTTGGGGTACTTTCCTGGTAAAATTTTGCAAGGCTTGCATAAAAAAAACTTTTTTTTAGCAAAAAAGCTAGATGGATAGTATACAGTTCAAGCCTTCGTTTTGCCGACACGATCGAAATTTTTAGCTCAAAACTTGGCGAAAGTTCAAAATTTTCAAAAAAAACTTTTTTTTATCCCAAAAAGTTTCGTGCCTATTTCTACTGTAGGATGCAATATTTCTACAAAAAAGTAATTTTTTCCGCGAATTTGGCTGACTTATGATCAGAAAACATTTCCTCTGGCCTTTTTCTAAAGCACGTATCCTTGCAAAGCGAGCAACTTTCAGGAATTGATGTGTGGCCTATGCTCGATCGTGCAAAGTGAAAAAAATATATCAGCGTTACACTTGGGGCACTTGTAAGATAATTTTTTTTCCTGGCAAGCGATATGTATTGTCATTGCGGTTTGTGATTAAGTCCACCGACATTTTTACGTCGAAACTTTCCGGAAAAGGCCTAATTGATATAAACTTTTGGATATCAGTCTGTCGGAAAAATAATGAGTACTCTTCACATAAAAAATTGTAATCGCCGCCGAGAAAATGAATTGTGTCGTGGAGAAAATCAAATTGCTCTTCACCTCAGCGAAGTGAATTGCACTCACTATTTTCCCGACAGAATAGTGCTAGTTTCGAATCTGGAACCCTACGATTTTATATACTGGTTTCTAATGTATTTTACATCCCGGAGGCACTGGTTAAATTCCCCCAAAAAAGAAGCATACAGCGTGGTGAGATGGCCGAGCGGTCTAAGGCGCTGGTTTTAGGCACCAGTCTCTTCGGAGGCGTGGGTTCGAATCCCACTCTCATCAGAAGTTCTTTTTTGGATCGTTTATGTACCAGTCTGTCGGAAAAAAAACGGGTTATCATGTCTTGGAATCGCCCATCATCGCTTTGCGACGGCAAGTCGCGGCTGGAAATTTGGTGCGCGATAGCGACAAGGTGAGACATTTTCCTGCGACGACCAGCCGTTATTTTCCCGACAGACTGATAGAACTTTTCCAATCTTCCGAAATTTTACTGATTTTTGCTTTTTTTATATGTCTAAAAATTTTTTTTCAACTTTTTTTCAAACTTTTATTACTTTTTAATTATCAGTTTCATAGCTACAACAAATGTTGATCCCATCAAAAATTAATAGCCATTTCGAAAGCCGCGAAAACTAGCTCCATTCTCGTCACAATGGCCGCTACAAAAACATGTTATAAAAACATTGTAAGCGGCAGCAACGTGACTTTGCCCAAACCCCCGGCTTAGCCGGTCCCCCCTACTGTAGCGAACTTTCATTGTTTCTTTATAACATAACAAGCTTTCGGCGAGGAGAGAACCGTATTAATAGGCGCGGAGAATGTAGATTAACAAGGTTGGGAAACGGCGCGAGAAAATGTTTTGTGTTCTCGCTAAGGAGCCAAGTTTTAATCCCTCCCCTCTTTTTTTGGGGGGGATTTATGATGAATGATTATACAGTAGTAGATGTTTATGCGCGCCGAAATAGAACATTGCTCTTTGCTGTTTTGTTCGGAAAGTTGCTTAATTTTGCAGTAAAGGGATTTAAATGAGATAAAAGCTTATTGTTTGGCCTATAAGGAGGTATTTGAGTTGAGCAAAATTGAATTGAAAGTTAGCTAAAATTTAGATGGGAAGAACTAAAAATTCAACGTTGAGATTTGGCTGAAACTTGGCATAAATTTAGATCATCTTTTTCTAAGGTGTATGCAAGACCTCGAGCTTGCAAAATGTCGGTCCTTTGCGAAAACGACCGAGATTTTTGTATCGAAATTTGGAAAAAATGTAAATCTTTTCTCTCTGACTCCTCTCCTTGTGTCCCGTACTCCCTCGCACCGCATTTTGTACTTTTAAGGCACAACCGATCTCCGCGACTTTTTCAATTTTTTTCGGAATGCGCTTACTTTTTCTCCCCAATCTCGCTAGCCGTTTGCGCTAGAGGGCTGAAATTTGGCATGGCAGTATAGTAAAAAGCTGGCTTTC